ATAGCTAGCTAGGAACACTTTGTACAAAGACAAAGGACTATTAAAGCTAGTAAAGAGCTAGAGCTAATACTCTGAAGCTCTATACTTGAGGAGGACTAGTACTAGTGAAGAAAAGGGAACTGAGAGCTCTAAGGAGAGACTATAGGAAAGTAGTCTCCTTTATACACTTTACTCATACAAATAGGAAAGTAATGAAGTCATAAACATGAGAACTATATAAGGACAACATGAGGAATACATGAGACAATCTAGAACTTTAGTTGTAAGTTCTATGATTAAATACAGAAGTATAAAGATAAGGCTAGAAGTTAATAAGGATAATTGTCTCCTAAACTAAGTCTATTAAAGAAGACTTAGGGAAAGATCTAGAACATTAGTTGTCAGTTCTAGAGTGTACACAAGACAGTCTAGAACTTTGGTTGTAAGTTCTAAGGGTAGTACAGAAGTACAGCCTTTTATATTACAAGAGTCATAAGGAGTTATTAGAAGTCATAACACTCTACCTTATGAGAAAGTGTATTACAAACTAGTGTACAGGAAGTACAGGTTGAGTCAGACAGAGTTATAAGAACAATAGAGAGCTCTACTTTATAGGAAAATTATTATACAGCTTACACAGTATAACTAGTTAGAAGGACTCATAAGGAGTCATTAGAAGTATGAGAGGAAGTATAGAAGACATAACAATACAGTAAAGGAGTTATTAGAAGATTAATCTAGAATACAAGAAGACACAAACTAGTGTTAGCAGATTAATAGAAGACACAAACTAGTGTAGTATACAGTCTAAAGGATTAGCTAGCTCTACTTTATAGGAACAATAGTAAAGAGAGTTACTAAAGTCACTAGAGTAACATTACTCTAACAAAAGGTATATAAGGAGGCTAGTTTGGCCCTCAAAAGATAGTTTTATCAACTTAAGTTACTTAGCACTTAGAAGTACTCTACTACCAACCTACTAGGCTACACTTGTAGCTTGACTAAAGTAGGACTCCTCTACCCTCTTACTCTACAAGTCTACAAGTCTTACCCTCTATACTCTATTCTGTTACTATTCCTAAGGATTAGGACTAGTAAAGTGAGTATATCTAACAAGAAGGTCACAGTTGTTATATTTGATAAGATATTACATGTATAATTTTATTACAATTTTATTTACTATAATCTTATATTTTAAAGAGTTATATTTCTAGTTATACTCTACACAGCTTTGTAGCTAAGTAACAATTATAAAGGTAATATACTATTTAGTATTTACACAAAGTTTCATTAAGATTGCTTGAAAACTGAATGATTTATTAATAAAACATGCTTAAAATAACTGTATTTTACTAAGTTTTTCTTGTATTTCTTTAATATTAATTTATAAGCTTGAGTATAGACTCTGAAACTTTATATAAGTACTATTTTCAAATATATATACAACTTAGTACTAACATATTCTTACTAACTACTCACAGAACTATTGATTCTATCTTGTATATATGTTTGAAAATAGTACTTATATAAATTTTCAGAGTCTATACTCAAGCTTATAAATTAATATTAAAGAAATACAAGAAAAACTTAGTAAAATACAGTTATTTTAAGCATGTTTTATTAATAAATCATTCAGTTTTCAAGCAATCTTAATGAAACTTTGTGTAAATACTAAATAGTATATTACCTTTATAATTGTTACTTAGCTACAAAGCTGTGTAGAGTATAACTAGAAATATAACTCTTTAAAATATAAGATTATAGTAAATAAAATTGTAATAAAATTATACATGTAATATCTTATCAAATATAACAGCTGTGACCTTCTAACTTTTCAATATTATACTAATGTATTATGCCTTCTAATACACTCTAGTATTATGTAAAACAAATCACATATAGTAAAGTTATAAAGGCTCTAATATTTGTACTATACTCTTAATAACAATTGCCCCCTTACTTTAAACCTTTAATATTATATACACATTTAATAATAATCTTTATCTATTTAAAAAAGCTACTTTCATATTAATAGCTTTTGTAGTTACAGAGATATAAGGTTACAAACTTATGTATATAAAGTATAATATAACTTTCTTTGTAAACATTATACAGACTCAATTCTTAAATATGTTGTAAATACATAAGCTCTAATAGTATTATAGTATTAAGAGTTGTAAAGTATTACAGATTTTAGTTAGAAGAAACTGTTATATTATTTATTAATAAATAATACACAAGTTCACAAGTAATTAGTATATTTAAAATTATATTTATGTAATAAATAAATTTCAATTAAATTTACATTAATTTTAGTAAAATAATGAAGGAATTTGGTTAAGAATTGAGTAAGATACAGTAGAAGGTGTGTACTTACTGTGTAAGACAGTAAGTACAGAGTGTAACAGTACTAATAACAAGCACATGTAAAATAGTGTGACATGTGAAGAGTATGTAAGCAGCTGAGCAATGGTCAAGCACTTAGTTATAAGTTTACTAATTATATACTTATTTATATAATAAGAGTTTATTTAAATGGGTAGAATACAGGATTATTTGTAGTATAGGGAATTTGATGAAATAGCACCTAATTGGACAGGCAATCAGACTGAAATTGCTTAACTAAGATCAGTTTCTGATGTAGGAACTGTAGGTGGTTAAATTCTAGTTTGACACTACTGTCCCTTGCCCCCCCCCCTATTAATAACTAAAACTTAACTAATGTACTAGAGTAATAATAATATAATAAAATCTAGAGGAACAGAATTGTTACCTATAGTTGTTACTTTCTGTCCAAGAAAAGAATGAAAGTAACCAATCATACTAGAACTACTGTCTGTCTGTTAAACTTGCTAAGACTAAGAAATTGTGTACCTTGTCAACTTTTTCATAATAAGTCCTTTTCTGAATACTATACTGTATTTTACTCAGAAACACTCACTTTAAGGGTATTTACAGTCTATAATTACTAAAACTCATTATTATTTCACAAAAAAAAATACTATTAGAAAGGTCTTCATATTAGCTACAAAACTTATGTTTTAATTTTTTGTAAAATTAAAAAATAAATATTTTATTGAATTTATGTATGAAGGACTCAAAACTGAGTATTTAATATAATTCACCTAGGAAACACACACTTGTAGGAAACTAAACTTAGAGAAATTTGTATGTACATTTACTCAGTACACAAACTTGACTTCAATCCTATCCAGACTAATTTACTTTGGTCTGAGCAGAAATAAAGGTAAGTACAGTCTATTAGTTATATACACTCTATTAATTAATAGAATATATAGTCCTTTATACAGGAACAGGCTTGTTGTAATGACTTAGAGTCTCTTACCTATGTTCTAATATCTGCTTCTTACTCTTCTCTGCCTCTCATTTTCCTCCTCCTCTTCTTCTAGAATTTGTTACACTTATTATAATTATTAAAGAATAATAAAGTAACTTACTTTTTAACAATCATTTCAACTTTTTCTTTAAAAAGTTTTTAAGTTAAAGGAATAGCTCTAGAAGAAAGAGATTTGGTCCAATCTTTTAAAATAGTTTCTTAAGATAAGGATAAAAGTTGAAGAGAAGAATGAGAATTAAAACAATTAGAAATGCCTTTAAGTCTTCTATTAATAGAAAACCTTAAAACACTAAATTACTTTATAGTAGCTAATTTAGAAAGAATAAATCTAGTAGAATTAGAATAAGTACCAGATGCTAAAACTATCTGAACAGCTTGACTTAGCTTAGCCTTCTCTATATTAGAGAGGGCTTTACTACTAGTAATAGAAGAGGATTTAGAAAGTTTTCTAGCTATAAGAAGTAAAGAAGAATAAAGGATTTTAAAGAGAAGAGAAGATAATAATAAATGTAAAGAAAAAGAAAAAAACTTCTCTTCTTTTTTTTCTGCACTATGTCAGTTGCTATGGTGATTTCTTAATACTGAAACATATTACCTCTAACATACATATGTTTTACATTTTTTTTAACTATAAAAACTGTACTAATAAGTAATATAGTAGATTATAGTACTTTATATATATATATAGTTTTGATTTAATTATAATAATTTTTATTCTTAATATGTTCTCTTAAAATAATAGAATATTATAGTAAATATGTTAAGAATACTAGTACCAAATGTTTATATATAGTTATAATAGTAATTATTGTAATAAAAAATTCATAAGTTATAACTATAAACTCTGTATTGTAGAAAGTAGTAAAATTAGACTTAAAGTTGTATTCTTAATAAGTAGCTTAATACTTAACTATTAATTATATAAATATATATATAGTGACTACATTTAATATAGTACTTATTCTCAAAATTTTAGCTACAAATAATGTCTCCTTAAATTAATTATAAGTGTGTTGTGTGTGGGAAAAGTTTCTGTTCACTAAATCAGTACTGATCATCAAAATTCTAACATTCCAACACTAATATCTCAGCTTCAACTCATTTTTTCTTGCTCGAATTTCGTATTTAAGTTATATTTATTGTAGGCTACCTGTATGTAGAATTTCAAGAAATTTTACTAAGAATTGAGGGAGGTATTGTACAACTGAGCGTTAACTGGTAACTGAGCGCAAACCAGTAAAGCAAGAATGCAATTTGGAATGGCTCACGGTCATCCGCGCGAAGAAAGAAGTGCGATGTAAGTATAAAATAAAATAAAACACAGGACTTTAAAAAGTAACTGACTTTTCATTCATCGTCGAATTTCCCACGGGTCTTCACGTCCAGAGTCTCGTAAGCAGACTTGAAATTTGCATAAGTATTCATCAACTGGCTATTGCAACTCAGACGGGCTCTCCAGGGACCTCCTGGCTTGCAACATGACATGAGGCATCAATGATTGGCTCGCTGCTTCCGTGTTTCCGTTCGTATCGTACTAAAAAAAGACGGTGCTGATTTGCGTTGATTCCATGCTGTCAATGGAAAACCTTCCTCACGGGAGTTATTCCTCTCCAGCCTGGGAGTCCGGAGCTTCTGTCCGGTCCCATCATGAACGGATATTACGCGAGGCGTTTAAATACAAGAACTACAAATGATGGCGCTACCTCAAACCCTTCTGTCGTTTCCCTGGCCAACTTCGTCGTTCCAGCATGGGTCAAACCTGGTCTCTCTATTTTCCACCCGCACCGAAATTCAATGTCTCGGACATCCCTGATCTGTCGGGCAAGGTCATGATTGTGACTGGTAAGAGGGCATCATCTCTTGAAGTTGCAATTCTGAATGAGAATTCAATAGGTGGCAGCTCTGGAATTGGAAAAGAGATCGTTCGAGGACTTGTTTCACATAATGCGAAGGTCTACTTGGCGGCTCGCAGCGCTGAAAAGGCAAACGCTGCGATTGAAGAGCTGAAAAAAGACACGGGCAAGGAGGCGCAATTCCTGCAAGTCGACCTGGCGAGTGTGAAGAGCGTGCGACGCGCTGCAGAAGAGTTTCTAGGCAAAGAGCAACAGCTTCATGCTCTCATAAACAATGGGTACGTATGCAATTTACTTTGCTAAATTCGTCCTTTTCGGCTAGTCTCTGACAGGATTTCTAGTGGAGTTATGTTCTTAACTGCTACACCAGAGTCCCAGGCCATCACGGAGGATGGATATGATATCCAATGGGGCACAAACGTTGTTGGTGCGTGTTATCGAATGCTTCATGAGCCACGTTTTGATTCAACGTTGATCATGTCACAGGGCCCTTCTACTTCACACAACAGCTCATGCCCGCACTCCTTGCTGCTGCGGAAAACTCGCCTGATAAGAAGGCTCGCGTGTTATTCACGTCGTCTATCGTACAATCGGATGATATCAACTTCGAGACGACCAAAGATACTCCTGCACGGAAGAAAATGTCAGCGAGCAACCGCTACGGACAGTCCAAATTCGTATGTTCAGTGTTTCCTTTGGCTTTTCTTGCACTCAAGAAATTTCAAGGCGAATGTGGTTCTTGCTCGCGAATTGGCACGTCGCTACGGGGACAAAGGGATCGTGTCAACTTCCCTTTACCCAGGTATGAGTACATCTCAACCTTATTTCTTATTTCCGATCATACTTCTATTGATTGATCAATTTTTTCAGGCGGAATTAAGACAGATCTCCAACGACACTTGCCCAAACTGACCCGTAAGATTCTTGTGAGTAGTATACGTCTGACATGCTTGCAGGGGTCACTAACTTGTGCCTACAGGATCTGGCACTTCACCCTGCTCCAATGGGCGCTCTCACTGCATTATGGGGAGCTACTTCGCCTGAAGCGGCAGACCTGAACGGCAAGGTAAAACGAATTAAAGCTTAATTTTTGCAACAAATACTTACCGAGCTTCGGTAATGCAGTATTTGGTTCCATGGGCAAGAGTTGGGGTCCCCAGCGTCGCTTCGCAGAAACCGGAATTGGGTGAGAAGCTATGGTCAGAACTTGAGGAACAAGTGAAGGGGAAGTAATCAGCCAGTGACGTCCGTCCGGCAACGATGGTCCAGATGCTCTATTGACTTCTGCAAAGATTGGTGCACGTTGCTTTTTGAAATCTTTCATCATACTTCGCGGCAATTTGTTTAGATACCTTTACATAGTTCGTTTTGAGTCTGCTATTTCCTTATAAACTTACTGCACTCATTTATGACTGGGTGCAAACCTTCGTTTGAAATTCGCCTACGTTTGACGCCATTGTGCCATCCCAAAACAAATAGTAGATGATCAACGCGAAAGTCCGCTCTTGATCCGGGGCTAAATCCTGAATAGAGTCAAGTATGACAATGTTGTCTGTTTCTCAGGAGGGTGCACCGGTTTGTAATCAATTTGAATTTCATAAGTATACCAGATATGACTTAGCCATAAGAGATAGGCAATAATAATTTTCCTGTACACAAAACCAATGGAGATTCCGGACCACCAGCGGCTGGCGCCAGAATCAATCTTGAGTGAATATCTTGTGGGAGCATCTAAAAAGCACGGGCGTGAGAACGGCTCTTATGAGTCCAGAAAGGCAGTTTCGTTTAAATTGCAACCGGTTTCATTCCATATTCCGGATCGGAGCCGTTAATCCTTTTTTCGTCGCGAAAGGGCTTGCTGCTACGTTTGTATTAAATTACCAAGGGGTCATCAAACGAAGCGTACAGACGTAACGACCTGTGCAGGTCGACCCTTGCGGCTCACACGGAGGCAAGCATGCGCGCTGAATTGCGGAGGCCTCGCGCTATTCTTGGCGACCCCTACGAGTTTGCATGTCACAGTCCTGTCTGTGGTCTCCGGAACGATTGCCTATTAGCGCGTATCATCTTTGTTAGATATTGACGAGTACCTTGCTGTGCCACATTGATGCTGCGCCTCTATCTCGGTGCATTTACTCTACCTGTCACCCTCTTTTCACCGTTCGGAGTGTCGGAAGAAGCCACATTGGTGCGCAATCCGATGCTATCGCAAAATCTGATCAATACCTGTAACGTGCGTCAAGCAACAAGGACTTGCCATGTTGGTCCAATGAAATGTGTTTGCACAGATAGCAATGAAAAATCGAGAAATGGGAATTAAGGTATAAAAACCCTGCTCGAGTCAACGAATCGTTATCCCTCCACTACCAGTCAGAACACAGTTAGCCAGCCATGTCGAACGAAGTCAAGATGCTCTACCTTCCTGAGACTATGGCCGACTGGCCTTGGCCTCGTGCAATTAACCCGCACTACGAGGAAGTAAAGGCAGAGTCAAACGCTTGGTTCCACAGCTTCAAGGCGTTCTCCACTCGGTCCCAATATGCGTTCGACAAGTGCGACTTCGGTCAGTACGATTCGCTGCCTTGACTTGCGCATAATGCTCATCGATATAATACCTGCAGCGCGACTTGCTTCTCTGGCATATCCTTGGGTATCAAGGGGTATGTTTTTAACATAGCATGTAGTTCGAGTACTCCTAATGATCAAACAGAGCATCTCCGAACTGGCTGCGACTTAATGAATGTGTTCTTCCTCGTTGACGAGTACACCGACGTCGAGCCGGCTCACGTCGTTCGTGAAATGGTAGACGTCGTTATCGACGCCATGAAATACCCCCATAAGCCTCGCCCAGAAGGTGAAATCATCCTAGGCGAAGTTGCTCGACAGTAAGTTAAATCAATCTTACACTGGATAATATGTGGTAAACGTTTGACTAGATTCTGGGCATTGGCGATCAAAACTTCGAGTCCGACCTCCCAGAAGCACATGATGGAAGCCTTCACCGACTATCTCGAGTCTGTTGTTAATCAAGCAGCCGATCGTGACAACAACTCGGTTCGAACCATTGCTACTTATCTCGAAAACCGTCGAGAAAATATCGGTGCACGACCTTCGTACGTTCCTATGGAACTCGACCTCAACTTGACCGACGAGGTCTTTTACCACCCTGTTATGACGGAGCTGGCCGTCCACATCGCCGACTTGATTATCTTGGACAATGTTAGTCTCTTTACGTCCTACACTTTCGATGTGATGATTCTTATCAAAACTATCAGGACATTGCCTCTTACAACAAGGAGCAGGCTACCGGCGACGACCGGCACAATATCCTCACCGTGGCAATGCACGAGTTTAACACCGACTTGGAGGGTGCCATGAAATGGGTCGTCGAATATCACAAGGAGGTTGAGAGGAAGTTCTTGGATGGACTGAAACGGGTTCCCTCATGGGGACCTGAAATGGACCGTCAGGTCCAGCAGTACCTCTACGGACTTGCCAACTGGCCTCGTTGCAACGACTGCTGGAACTTCGAAAGCGGCCGATACTTCGGTAGCAAAGGTCTCGAATACCAGAAGACGCGTTTGGTCCCACTCCTCCCGAAAGTCATCCCACCTGCACAGGACCCAGCTCTTCGTCGAGAGAATGTTATTATCCCGCTCGTCGAAGCACTGGAGGTTAAGGCATAATTTTATTAAGTTTAGAAGGATAGAAAAATTTCTTAACCAGACATTACGCCTTGGTAATATACGTTGCAGAGCCTTTTACGTAGAATAGTCATTGTAGAACAATGAAGTCAAGATATATAGTTAATTAATGTAAATAAAGTCTTCATATTCTCCATTCCAGCTAAGGCCATTGTCCTTCTCGATGTGAGAGCGAGCATGCTTGACCTAGCAATATATAAAAAACAAATTGTTACTACGACACTGAGCGTGGATGCCTCGATCTTCTTTCTTTAGAGTTCGGCGTTAAACTCACCCACTTTGTAATAATTCAGTTGAACACTCATCTCATACGGCCTTTAGTAATTTGACCTCGTGTTGACGTAGTCATCACAGCAAACGTAAACCACCACAGGCAGGCTCGACCGAAGTCACCACTTAAATCATTTTCAAAACTGCTTGCAAGTCGACAAATTCAGGGTCTTTTAATCACTCATTCTGCACCATCCGGTTCTGAGGCTATACGATTTCAATAGAAAAAAGAGATCTATTCATTCCGTTCCTTGTACTATCACAGTCATTGGGTGAACTATTCAAGCCTCTACCTTCTTTGCTTGCATCTGGATTTCTCCAACTGTGGTATCGGAAGACTCGGACTTCTGCAGCATCGGAGTCGTACGTGGCCTCAAGAAAATGATGACCATGATTGTTTGTGCCAAGCCCAGAGCAACGATAAACCACATCGCCGAAGAGGGTCCCTTGTAAGACGGGAATGGATGATCGTTTGAGACCTGGACGAGAATAGTTGTAATTATAGCGACATTGATTGCCCCACCGACTTGTTGAGCAGCACTGAAAATTGCTGCGGCAACACCAACTTTGTCCGGAGGGACAGAGGTAATAATCCCAACACTGTATAGGATGGTATCGGTTAAAGAACAAGACCGCGTCGATAGAAACAGCCAAAACTAACTTGGAGATCATGTAAGCAGCGGAGGAACCAACTGTGATAAGAATCATTGACGGAAAAACGAGGCTCCAATACCGCTCTCTAGATGACGCAAATGCCATTAGGATGGAGAAGACGCCTGCCATGGAGTTTGCTCCGATTAGGGCGACTCGAGGGGGAAGCGCAAGAATTTGGCGTGGGAGAACAACGCAAACAATTGTGGAGGTCAACCCCATCGGTAACCTGTGATCGCAGTTAGACTGAGTTCCATAAATGGCTCAGGAGAGTGATGCATACACATGTAAACCAATTGTCAATGGGTTCCACCCATATGCTACCGGCCAGTACTCGCTGAAGACCAGAATCGGGCCCGTAAGGTATATTTGAGTGCAGAACGACACAAAAATATAAACCAGGAAGTTCGGAATGAACCACATCTTTGGCGGAATTAAAGCATGTTCTTCATGCAGGCGAGTCTGCCAGATGAAGAATGCGACCATCATGAAAACAGAGACAATCAGGGGGGCCAGCACCCGTGCTGTTCCCCATCCTGAATCGGGTGCCTGAGAGAGCGCGAAGATAAGGAGGATTATTGAACCTAAAATGCTTCCGATGAAAATGTGCGTCTGCAGCCTTTCAGTGACTCTTACCGGTCAGAACGAGGACGCCGGGGATGTCCATCTTTTTGTCCTTATGTCCGTCCCTATCCCGCTTCCCGGGAATAAGGAAAATTGATATTGTTGAAAGCGGAACTGTGACCATGGGGACTACCCATACCACCCAGTGCCACGACGCGAGTTGCACAATAATACCCCCAAGCACGAAACCCAGACAGAGCCCAAGGGTTCCTGCTGCGGCAAACCTAATGTTACATTAGCGGATCCCGCCTTGCCTGCTGCGGGACAGACATTCTCTCACAGTGTTAGAGCTATTCCTTGAGCTTTGGGTGCAGGATACGTCGCGGTGAGCATTGCGGTTGCCGAGGGTATCGTCATCGCTGCTCCTATGCCTTGAATGGCACGGATGATGATGAGTCCGATAATGTTCTTAACAAAGCCAGCTCCTATTCCAAGGAATCCAATAAGATAGAATCCTGCAATAAAGACTGGTTTGGGGTGATAAATATCCGAGATACGGCCAGCCTTTCCAAAGCGTCAAGCATACATACGTCCAATATTATCAATACTTACAAGGAGAAGGAAAGAGCCAAATGTCAGGCTGTAAGCCGTTAGCACCCATGAAAGGATGGATGTAGATTGATTGAAGTCAGAACCGATCTGTTAGCACGAAGTCAGGACATGGGCACATTGGCATAGAAATTCACATTGGCTTACGCTGTCAAGACAGATAATCATGGCGCTCGTCATGAATGCATCCACAAAAAGCGCGAGACAGAAGATCGCGAGGAGAATAGCCCGCCGGACGTTCGACATCTCAGCGAGATTACTGGAGTGAGCAGGCGGACCTTGTGGAGGAGGGCTTTCATTCACAGAGTCCATCTCAATGTTCGACGTCTGCACAACGATGGAGGGTTCGGGAGACATGTCTTGATAGTGAAGACTGTCAGAGCTCACAGGATCCTATGGGGGGAACTCCTCGTCCGGTAATGAATGGAGGTACCCTATTGCTCGGAGGCGTGATTCTCTCGTCACACCATGCATTCGCTCGTCCAATGAGTGGTGTATCATCCGAGCCACGGGCGCAAGTCGCATAGCTTCTAACCAAATGTCCGTTGATGATGGAATTTGGAGAGAAATCAAATTGCAAATGCAGAATAATAACATGTCACGGCTTTGAACGTGACCGGCGGAAAATGCGGGAAGATCGGCCCCAACGATCCGATCTAGAAATTGCCTCCGATATCGTAATTCATCCCGATCCGTTGATGGATGATCCGTTTAGGTATGCCCATCCCTTTTCTGAATTTAATGGTTTAATGCTCGCTTATGGAGCGGTATCAGGGATTCAGGGATCCTCGGCCCTTGCAATTTCCTGTCGTTTCAATGCTGTCGCGACACACCCACTCGTTATGCTATCATCCGACATGACAGCCTCGATCAATCTAGTGAAAATGCACTGCTCGATAATCAGGATGCTTATATTCTGCTTTTCATCTGGTGTCTTCTCAAGGCAGTCCTACCTATCTTCATTCGATCATGGCGGTCCTCAACCTCCCCTTCTCGAACCTCACAATCTTCTCACTTGTTGTCCTGGCATGGGTCGTGCACTCGACTGTCAGAGCCTACCTCCTAAGGCGAAAAATGCCGCCTGGTCCTACTGGCATCCCACTTCTGGGAAATGTACTACAGATGCCGACCTCACTTCCTTGGATTCGTTTTGCTGAGTACACTAAGAAATATGGTAGGCTACTCTACTTTGCATTGTTACAGGGTATATTCACAAGGCATGCGGATATTCAGGTCCTGTCGTATCGTTCAATGCTGCCGGCCATCCTGTGATTGTCTTGAACGATCACAAGTCTGCCTTTGAGCTCCTGGGTAAGTGCCTGAAGCATTGTATCTATCACGAGGCTCTCTGACTGCCAGAAACAATAGAACGTCGTAGCTTGAACTATAGTCACCGACCGCGCTTCATCAAGGCCGGAGAACTCCTATGTGATAACATTATGCTCTCCTTCATTCCCTATGGCGATCTGTAAAATCATCCTCTGCGTTCTCACGTCGCTTGGGCTTACCGAAAATTACAGCTTCCGTCGGTGCCGTCGTGTAACTAAAGAAGTATTCGGGCCCCGAGCAGCAGAGCAGTTCATACCGATGCAGGAGAAGGAGTCTACTCGCCTCCTGCGCGACATACTCTGCAAGCCGGAAATTTGGGAGGATAGTCTCAAGAGGTCTGTAGCATTGCACAATTTCTAACCAGTGCTGACAATGTCTTTCAGGTCAACTGCATCAAATATCCTTACTGCAACATACGGATGGCCTCGCATCACTGACGAATACCTTCCCTTGGTCAAGCGAATCCACGACCACACTGAGCATCTTTCCAACGCATGCATTCCTGGATGCAGTATGGTTGACACCTTCCCTTTCATAAACCATTTCCCGTTGTGGATGTCCAAGTGGAAGCGAGACTGTCTTGCGTGGCATAAACGTGAGTCTGCAATGTTTGAAGGTTTCAATTCGGAAGTAGAGAAGAAAATGGTAAATATCTCTCAACTTTCATATTCTGAATGGGGTTTGATGGTGTATACCTTTCCAGGAGAAGGGAGAGGCTCCATATTGCTTTGTAACTGCTCTTGTCGAAGGGGAGAATAAAAACGAGCTCTCTAAAAAGGAGGGTGCCTGGCTCGCTGGTATTATGTTGTAAGTACTGTATCCTCTATTCCTTTGTATGTATAACTCACTTTCATTCGCAACAGCTCCGCAGGCGCCGAGACGACTTCTGCTTCCCTTCAAAACTTTCTGATTGCAATGATTCATTACCCTAGAGTATTGAAAAAGGCGCAACACGAGATAGACACGGTGATCGGTCGAGACCGCCTCCCAACATTTGAAGACAGACCAAATCTCCCTTATGTCGGTGCTCTTGTAAGAGAACTACTTCGTTGGAGGCCCGCGGGACCCATGGGCAAGTATTGGTCACTCATTTGCATTCCACAATCAACAACTTATGTACTACTCCATAGGTATTCCGAGACGCGTTGCTGAGGACGATTGGTACGAAGGTTACTTCATTCCTAAAGGTATGTTTCTTACGAATATGAGGAGAAATGACACTTAATCCTTTTTCTAGGCGCAACCGTTATCTCGAACATATGGTAATGTCCTGTTTTTGAGTTTGTCTTGATCAGCCCAGTACTTACTCGACGATTCGGTACTTAGGGCCATCGACAGGTCTGTCGCAGCTAAACACTAATTTTATTTTCTTCTGGTCTAATACTTACCCCACAGAGACCCCGCACTTTACACGGATCCAGAAGAGTTCATCCCTGAACGATTCCTTGATGAAACTGGGACGAAGCCAGTCATTCCTGGAGATACTCACTCTTTAGGTCACAGTTCATTCGGATTCGGTAGAAGGTCTGTAAACCATTTCTCGCTGTCTGATAATCTGTTCACTTAACTTCGTATCGACCCTTATTGTTAGGACATGTGTCGGGGTTTATTTCGCGCAGCAATCTCTCTTCATCAACTTTGCCCAATTCCTGTGGGCTTTCAACATCGAGAAAGCTCGAGACGCTCAAGGCAATGAGATTACCCCGTCTTTGACAGAAGTTATCGATGCCGGAGTCACAGTGTACGTGCTCTTTTTGCAATGCTCGTAGCTTGATTAACTAAGGTCATTACGTCGACTCTTGTTCAGTGGACCTGCGTCATTCCAATGCAAGCTTTCTCCTCGTTACCCGGAGGTACTACCTATGGTTGAAAAAGCTGTCGCTAATATGTAGAAGAATGATACTCTAAATGTTTGCGAGCGTTAATTCTTATTTAATGCTGTAGTAGATTAGTATATTACTTGGTTAAATGCAGACATCTTTTCGCCAGTTCTACATGGATTATATTGATAAACCTTGAATCCAAAAAAGAAAACGGGTCTAATATCATAATAGTTATCCCTCTCAATGATCCTGCAGGACATCGCGCAAGACCCTATGTCCTACTGTTCAGCGTCATGGACAAACGTAGCCATAGCCGAGGCCGAGCTATTCATCAAACCAAAGACAGACCGATCACCAAAAATGCAAAGAATTTTTCTGATGCAGGGGTTGCAATACACATGCTCTTGTACTAATACATGTCATAAAAAATAAAGATGAAGGAGACCCTACGAGCCCGCACATAAGTCATGAAACGGTGGATGACGGCGGGCGCTCTGGCGTCCCGAATCCCTTTCCCTGTGATACGAGGCCTATTGTTCCTTGCTGTGTTCTGACTGCACGGCTGAATGCTATCGCTTCATTTGATTGGCGATAGGCAATCTGGAACCGCACTGATATTGGAAGAGTTGAATGGTCGTGGCGCGGTCTACATCCGTTGAATACATGGATTTTCAATTTAATGAAATGATGTCCGTGTAGTTGCCATTGATATAGAAAAGAAAAACAAACAAAAATAAACTATACATGGCGGAGCACAGCTGGGCTGAAAACCCTTTCCCGGAATAAAAACCTTCCTATGAAGGAAAACTTCTAGTACCAATAAGCGTAGCATCACTTAGGATATGCTGCGGACCGGGATGACCGAGCCGGCTTGGTGGGAAATTTCAAATGCACACAAGGAAATTTATAATTAATTGAATCGACAATCCGTTGGGGAGCGGTCGCGACGCCGGCGGGTTACGAGAACCGATCGGCATCATCAATGATAAGAGTGTAAGTTGCTTATGATGACATCAGAAAGAGCTTACTTGAAACACAATAATCCTGTCATTTAGTGAAGACGAAGGTAAAGGCACAAGTTAGTCAGTGATGCGATGCTCGTCTTTGTCGGGAAATGGTTCAGAACTACTGCTACACCACATGGCGGGCAAGCACGGTGAAAATCGGTATCCGTGTTCAATGGAAGTTTCATAGGATAGATGTTTGATAACATAACATACCGCATATCCTTGCCATCAGACTATCGGAGTGCAACACGTTTGACAGCTCTATTGGAGTCCGTTGTACAGCTGTAATACATCCGAGGTTCCGAAAGGCCGCCTCAGCGGAATGAGCCACTTCCCACGAATTTCGAGCGCTGCCCCAGTTAGGGTCATTTCTGGCTTCTGGCTCTTTTTCTGACATGTATGAAAAAGTGTCCATGAGCAAGAAACGTTGTACAGTGCCACTCGCAGTAGATCGATACGAAGATACGCGATGCATCATGGATATTTGAGCTGAGAGTTCCAAATCAAGGTTTGATAGAGTAAAGAGATGCCTATCCTGCCCTTTCCCCTCGAATTATTGACAGAACAAATAAAATCACAGAATTTTCTCACAATAAGCCACCCTTCCCCGAAATCGGCCATGCCCTCCTACCATCATATCCATTAATCTTTACTTTCAATGCATTTTTCTTTAGGGGATACGAGGGTTTTTGCTCGCAACTTGCCTAAGTTACTAACGTAACTTTGTAAGTAATGGAAATCATAGAAGTTATACTGCCGGAATTCTAACTTCTATATCATTGTGCCTGGATAAGAATAAACGTTCGGAAGCAATTCGATTGAAGCAAGAATGCAATACACTCCTTTTGGTCTACACTCTAGCAAATGCCTAATGCCACTTGTTTGCGAGAAGCCGTATGTGTGGAGCCACGGCATCTCGCGAGTGCCATTATCCTCCAAAGAATGCAACATGTCCTTGTACTAGTGCTGATGGATCAGGCCTCTTGATTTGCCGGTCCTCCGTCACTTGCGCTCAATTATCTGGTTCCGCAACGGCTCCACTTAGAGTAGTTGTTTAGCGGGCTTCGGCGATGAGGCTTCGCGCTTACTATGACCTCGGAAACTGAGGTGTATCAAAAGAGATATTCATAAGTAGATAACTCGAACTAGGGTTCAAAAGCTAACTGAAGATTCGACAGGCACGCAGTTAAAATTACGTTGGAGGAATGTACGTACGTAGATGTCCCTGGTGGCATTGCAAATTCCGGGGATTGTTGGCCTCGGGAAGTGTGAGCGAGGGTGACATTCCACCAAGTCGGAACGATGCAATCCCTGGCCTAACCTAACAACAAATATCGATGGAGTATCGCATCAGGAAGCCTGACTACTGCGGGATTGAGTGGGAAATCGGTGTGTACGGTAACCTGAAGTGAGCCACAAGCACGCTTCCAGTAGGAATAAAAAAAGATAGCAATACTTGATTCATGATTACACCTCCAATTTTGGTCGACGGAATATGACAAAGCCACCGTTTCAGTCATAATCCGCTTTCTGGTGCCTTGAAGCTTTGATCACTGCACGCTAGCTGAATTGGTTGCATGCAGAAAAACTTCACATGTACGAGTGACGACATGAAGAACAAAGGAAATGCTACGGTTCGCGATTTCCGATTTTGGAACCATCCCGTGATCGGCGAGCTCCGATTACCAAAAGCGAGTAAGCGAGTTTGATTCACCTTTTCTCCGAGCCACAACACAGCATAGTCAACAAATATCAAACTGCAGGAGTGTGTATCGAGCGTGGTACTCCCTTGATCGTTCTGATGATCTCTAACAGACGTTGCATAGACTTATCCTCCGTCCCGCTCGGCTGAGCCGGACTGCGCGCGCATTTCAATGTGTCCCTGACCTGTCCCGGTCCCTTTCATCGGTTTATGACAAGATATGGATCAATGGTTGGCGCAGATGAATGCATGGCGGCCAATTTGACATGCGGATCAAGTGCTCCGAATATGAGAAATGGTCAAACGCGTCCCGCAACGTCGGAGATCGGACAATGACTTCGTTGAATGATTCAATCTCTTCTCCTTAGGTGAGTTATGTTTGATACACCCTTATTAGTTATCTGAAACTCATAGAGGGCTCATATAGCACGCAGACTCCCCGCTTCCCCATCCACTTACCCCCTTTCAAGATGTGGGTTGCTTACTACTATGCGCTCGCGCCTCTGGCCGCCCTCCTCGTCTACGAAATTCGCTCGAGACTGAACGCGAAGCGTCTTCCCCCGGGCCCTAGGCCTCTCCCCATTATTGGAAACTTGCTGGATGTTCCGAGCGAAGCCGCTTGGAAGGTCTATGCTGAGTGGGGAAAGAAGAAATATGGTAAGTATTTAGAAGAATCAGCGACCTTATAATCCCAGCTGACGTCTGAAAACGTAGGTGATATCATATATTTCAAAGTTCTGCAAAAATCGGTCATTGTCATCAACTCCGCGACCGTCGCGCATGACTTGCTGGACAAGCGAAGCGCTATTTATTCAAGTCGCCCATGGGTTCCTATGGCTGGTAACGTGTACGCGATTGCCTTGATACCCCTCCATCCAGTGCCCTAACCGGCTTGTTATACATAGAATTGGATGGAATTGGGCACTTCCTCTCGTCACATATGGAGAGACCTTCAGGCGACACCGCAGGTACCTGCAACGATACTTTGCGAAGCCCCTCCTTCCGGATTATTATCACATACAACTAAAAGAGGCACGCCGAATGATAAACGATATCCTAGAAGATCCAGATAACTATAAACGGCATATCGAGCGGTATGTAGCTCACCTTCTGAACATGCTTCAAGATTTGACGATTCTCTTTTCATTTAGAATGGCGGGAGCAATCATCATGGAGATTGTCTTCGGGCACGAGGTCAAGTCTACGGACGATAAATTCCTACAAATCGCCTCCAAAGGAGGTAAAACTATTGCGGCGGCTGGTGCTGTTGGTGCACACCTTGTCGACTTATTCCCACTTCGTACGTGCTCTGTTAACCCGATGGTTACTTTCCCCTCTGATGTCCCACATTTATAGTGCGCTTCATCCCAGACTGGTTCCCCGGAACTGGATTCAAACGCCTTCCCCCTGGGACGCGGGAAGATCTAGCTGCAATGCGTAACGTCGCATTCGAGTATGTAAAAGAAAAGATGGTCTGTCCATTACATTTAACTTGAGAACGCTGCGATTAACGTCGACCACAGGCAAAAGGAATCGCTCGCCCATGTTATACGTCGACTTTATTGGAAGAAACAAACTTCGCGGATGAAGAAGGTGTAAGAGATACCGGTGCGAACGTCTATTCAGGTGAGAGGAAATGGTCTTGCTTGTAGTGCATGGTCTAATATGTTTGCTGGTAGCTGGCTTCGATACGGTATGCACACAATTCAAGATATTGAATCTTTTAACTCAAAATCCCGCCATATTCTAGACACTGTCGGCTCTCATGAGCGCCATGATTGCATTAGTTCTTGATCCTGTCATTCAGGCGAGAGCACAGGCCGAACTTGATACTGTCATTGGAAAGAATCGACTACCTGATTTCACCGATCGCGAAAGTCTGCCTTACATCCAGTGCATCATTATGGAGGCATTCAGGTACAGTGCAGATGTTATCGGACCATTATCTAACAGTATTGACTAAGATTGTTGTATTGGAATAGATGGGGAGCAACAACACCAGTCGGTAAGTCGGCCTTCGTCGTATATTCAAACCCAGTAATGTCTAATGGGTCCATTTTTACAGGCGTACCGCATTGTCTAACCCAGGACGACGAGTACAACGGGTATTTCCTTCCCGAAGGCAGTACAATCGTTGCAAATGCTTGGTGAGGATCTTTACACACTGCGCCGGTGTGCATCCATTGTTTACAAATCAATCGCAGGGCAATGCTGCACGATCCAGCAGTCTACCCCGACCCTGAGACATTCAATCCAGACCGCTTCTTGAAAGGCGAAGGCCGCACCCCTCAGCCTGATCCTCGTGGACCTGCGTTCGGTTTTGGTCGACGGTAAGAGGAAAAAGCGCCTTGCACGAGTTTTGAGTGCAAACTCATTTAATTCATGCAGAGCCTGCCCTGGAAAGGACATCGCCGAGAACACTATCTGGATCACCATAGTCTCGATATTTTACGCATTCAAGTTGACTCCTGCTGTCGACGAGAATGGCGTAGAGATCCCTATTGATAGACAACTCAGCGAGCACAGCGTGCGGTATGTCGCTCGTTTATTGCGTCTCAAAGTAATGATTGGGCTAATAAGTTCTGCAGCCATCCCCCGCCATTCAAGTGTACCATTCGGCCCCGCTTGACGAACTCTGAGACACTAGTCAGACATGGCCAAGATTAGAAGGATTGCGAACGCTATTTAGAGGTATCCTACCTGAGTACTATTTATTACGGTACTGTCAAACATCGGTAGCTTAGGGTACCGTTGATCCCCCCTTTTTTTCATTTATTCGACTTGTTTCGATAAATCCAACTGTCATTCATAATTTTTGTCACCACTATTTTACTTGTTAATAAATGCATTTGATTCCTTGATGCCTCTGTCTTGTAATATTCATTGAGTGAAAGGATCTTAATTGGACAAAGCACAATTAATTAGGAATTTCCAGCAATCCATCGCCCATATTATTTTCTCGCTTAGTTGTCACTTTCAGAGGTACTGCAGTTCTGAGCCGCGAAAACTGGAGACCCACGGAGACATTCATGTTGAGAGGAGGATCGTAATAAAACAATCCAAGGATTTGAAATGCATATGAGCATGTCTTTGCACACGCCTTTTCCGGGCAAATGTTCTTCTGTTGCAAGACACAAATGGTCGCCCTAGTCTTAAATGATAAAAGGTGTTGCTGCAAGAGTTCACGAGGTTAGGCAATATGATCATCGGTCTTGAATGCATCCGATACATACCTCCCATGCAGTCAAAAATTCAAAATGTTGTACTGATCTATACATGTACGCTGCTGTCGAAAAACAATATCTTCCCTCTAAAACTTTCATTAATACAGTATTACTCTACTTTTGAAAATAACCCTCCTTCAGTACAAACTAGACTTCTAGTTCAATCAGAATCTACTAGGTACAGTAATGTCCTCCTGCAGCTTCCTATTCAGGTTTGTGGGCCTTTGCGTCTTGTAACCTCAGAGTAAGTCAGCTTTCTGACAGGTTGTGGGACTGCCAAAAAGTTTTGTGTCACTCCATTATTAACATTCAACTCTGAAGTCTGGTCAAGCTGAGTGGTGTCACTGTCGTCAGAGTGCTCAGAGCATCCGCTATCACCCCAGGCAGACGTGGAACGTGAGGGAAAGTGGGTGTGAAAGTTCGCAATGTTGACTGCCAAGTTGCTAATCCATCTCCGCAATGAACTGGTTGGGATTTCTGAATCACCGTCTCTGTCCTGCAAACCATCAGTGATCAAGACAGGAGGCATTGCAGGTTCCTGCATTAGTTGGTCAATATGAAAATCCTATTTAGACGCATATCTGCCAGGATACGACACGGTGCAGCATGATACTCACAATCAATACGGAATGGTTCTCCATCTTGTCCAATGATCGGAGGACATCAGTCATACTTGGTCGTTTTGTCGTTTCATGCGACCAACAGGCTTCAATAAGACTCCAGACGTAATCATTCAGACCTCTCATGTCCGCATTGCCTCGCGGTCGGCGAGGCCTTTTTCCATTCAATACTTGATGCATGACAGCAACAGGTCTCGGCAGCTCGCTGAATGGCATTGTTCCAGAAAAGATCTGGTCTTGTCCTTAGATTTGTTCACTGTTGAGTCATAACAACAATAAACATACTTCAAAACACGTCATAGCATATGCATAAACGTCGCTCTTTGAAGATCCGGTAGTAGCCTTTGATCCTGGTGGCGGATCAAAAAGCTCAGGAGCCATCCAATGCAACGTGCCAGCTGAATTGGGGTCGCTCATCTTCTGACTCTTTATTTGACTATAATTTGCAACGCCAAAGTCGATAATGAGCAATTCGAGCTTCTCGTTGACAACAATATTTCCCTAAACATTCCTTTAGTCACATAACAAGAACGTCACTACTGGCCACCCACAGCTCGCAAGTCACAATGAAGGATCTGGGGGTCCTGACTATGCAGATATTCCAGTCCAGATGCTATTTGCCGGATCTTGCATTGACAAATAACAAAGGACGTCAAGTATATTAAACCTTAGGAATTAGTCTAGACGAAAAAGTACGTACAAAATCAATTCCGTCAACATAACGACCACCTTCCTCATATTTCTTCATAAACGTTGACAAGTCCCCATTGTCCATCCATGGTGAGACCAAAAGGTTTACCTCAGTCATTAAATTATCACAAACTCCGATGAACGGAAGAACGTTCCTGTGTCTCAATTGACGCCAAATTATAGCCACTTTAAGTTGAGCCTTTGAAGACAGGCTCGTAAATAAACCAGTATAGGGAAATTTGTACCAGGGTGCAAACCTCGAATAAATCTTTCCGATTTGCCCTTATTCTCTTAAGTGCCACTTTCTTCCCGCCCAGATGACCGAGAAAAATATCAGCGTAACCACCGCTAATATGGTGTGGAAATGCGGAATAAGAGGCTTCCCAAGTGATACCGTCCGAAATTCGGATGCTATCCGGCAGAACTCCTCGTCTGTTGACTAGATCAAAAAGCACCAGCCTGAGAGATCGATAGTTGGTAACTTCTCTGTCAACTAGCTTCAGAAATTGTAAACTATAGCTCTAACCTTGATGGAATGGATCATAGGCCTACTAATTGAACAATGCTCATGACATGTTGTAAATCGCTATCGTGCATTTTTAGTATGGGGGAGCGCGTAGGTGAGTTCATGCATATAAATAGCATGCGTGCGAAATCGTGTTCATCTGCTTTTTCCAAGCATTGCATAAAGATTCGGCATAATACTGATCTAGAAGTCTATTCCAGAAAGAGATCAACGAATCATCCCTCGTTTCTTTGAGGCTGGTAGTACATACCCTGATAATAGAAGCAGATCTTTGAGAGACAACTTTCCTCAAAGCCTTCTCTTTTGCTAGCGATTCAACGATTTCATCCGCGGACCAAGGCAATTCTGCAGCAAAGAATCCTTCAAAACCATCTAAAACGTATGTGGTTGAAAACACTGATGGGTTAATGTTCGAATCGGAGGGAGCTTACAAGCTACTTCGATTGGTTCAGAATCCTTAGTCTGTACGTCTCCGGATTGAAGAAATATGCAACCATAATAAATTTGGAACTTGATAGAGTTAGTGGATTGCTGGGAACGATTAATGCGTACTCACCGGATAAAGTATTGAGTCTAGTCGTCTCCTATATGCGCGATCCGGCACAGGGGAGAGGTTTAAATCGGAAAGCAAGAAATCAAACAGGTTGAAGGCGATCTCTCGCCAATCTCGGTCAATACATAGAATGTCGTCATCCAGTTTTTTCCGCCAAAGATCCGATGCCTCTCCTTCATGAGCAGCACAGAACTTGTTCCATCGGACTTGAAAGTCTGGGAGGAGCTTTGCGAGGTCGGCTAGAAAAGAGGGCATGATCAGTCTACGTGGCAGACGAGTAGCTCAGGGAATAAAGTGTCAACTCAGACTAATCAGGTGCAGGCTTAGGAACCATATGTCGGGATCACGATCGAAAGATAGACGCACATTCACTTTATTGATCGAAGAGCGAGCTGTGACAATGCGAGGGCGCTTCGAACTATGCATAGCTTACTAATCACCAGAAACACTGATCTAGCATGTGACCAAGTAGACTTGAAGTACAGGCATTCACCGGTCCTTTAAACACAACCTTTTGAACCCTCTGCATAATTTTTTATACAAAACTTTTCTTGTTTTTTTCTATTATATACATTCTAGACTATGATTAGTATGCTATGTAAAAATTATACAGGCATAGAGTGCCCCAAAAAATTAATAGAGAGGCAAGAAAAAATGAGGGAAATGTCACAAAAAGCACTCCTTTGAACAGACTGTGACTCTTGTCACGCTGGCACGCTCCAACTATCCTACCAACTCCTCCTGGGCCCCTGTCTCTCTCTGTACAAAATTTCCTCCTCTTGAAAGCTGCTAGCTTATTTCTATTCACTCCTGTGACTCTATCAGGAAAAAGTCACATTGCTTATAATGCATTGTAGACTTTGTAAAGTATAATGTAAGTATTGTATATATATTGTAATAAAATTATAAAGATCTTACAGTTTCCTCCTCCAGAATGTTAAACCATTTACTAACAGCTGTTAGATTTAGACTATTTACTTATTGTGTATTAAGATGAGAACTCTAGTAAGTTTTTAGCTTAGTATAATAATACTCTAGGAATCTCTAAACAAATGTAGGTCCTACAGGCTTGTAACTTGTACCATATCATGCCTTAAGGAGTTAATTAGCTGCCCTTTCAATATCATTATGACTGAATAGGCAGCTTTGATTAGAAGAGATCCAAATAAGTTCTGTCAGTGTCTGATTGTCCTCCTTCATTAAACAGCATTTTAAAGTATTAAACTCTAGGATAGACTTTATTCCAGCTGCCCTATTCCTTAATGTTCCAACTGTAACCCCTTTAAACATACTAGCCACTCCTCTTAGTCCTAGACACTCTCTCTGGGACTTTTTTTAGTCCAACTAATAAGCCTCAACTGTATTAGGAAAAAGTCAGATTCATAGTAATACATTGTGGACTTTGTAAAAGTAATATAAGTATTGTATATATATTGCAAATAACTGTAAGATCTTTATAATTTTATTACAATATATATACAATACTTACATTATACTTTACAAAGTCTATAATACATTATAAGTAATGTAGCTTTTTCCTAATGTGCTTGACTCATATTCCTCTCCCTTTCCTCCAATTCCTCCCTTTTTTTAGAGATTTAAACTTAGCATGCTTGACTATAGTGTACTAAGCAGAATAGAGAGTGAGCAAGCAGAAAAAAAAGAGTAAAAAAACACTAATTTATTAGCAAGGGTATGGCAAATGCTCTGACACGATTCTCACACAAAGGTTTGGCAAATTACATCATTGTGTCGATCATTTCTCTTTCTGTCACGCTTTCTTGACTTTTCTTAATGTTTACTTTTAATAAATTGTACAACTCAGTGTATTAAAATAAAAACTGCAGAATTGTATATTTTGGATACTAATAATCATATATGCAAAGTTTCAACTTGATTGGATTAATAGAAATATCACCAGAAAATTTGCAAAGTTTACTACAGGACAATTTTACTAAATTCTTTACCTGTCTGATTTTTCTTAATTTTATTTCTTGCTCAATTTCTCTCAAATCTTATATATACATTCGGGTCATATAGTAATACCTTGTATTAAATTTTCATAAAATAATATTAAGATTTGAGTAAGATATTACAGTCTGTTTAAAGGAACGGTTGTGTTTAAAGGAGCAGTTTTTGACTGTAGTAAAAGCAGTCTTAAGCAGATAGTAATATCGTGACATTGCTTTTTAGCAGTTATCGGAATTTAAGTCGTGTCATATCTCCAATGAGCTTTTCAGTAATGAGCTGTAACTGAGTGTCAGCGTGTGTTTTTGATAAATTGAGCTGAAGATGAAAAATCTAATATGAAAGTTCTGCTTGCCAATTTCGAGTCTAAAAATCACGTGATATAAACCTAAAGGAATGGGCACAATTTCAACACTTTTTCTTCAAACATCAGAAATGTGCTTATCGAATTGCGAAACACGTAGAATATCCGATATGGTAAACCAACGGGTACACGTCGTTCTCATACGAATCCTATCTCGAACTCTTGCCTTCCAAAGTTCCACCAGACCGATATTTCTAACTTCTAAATCTACTCGGTTCCTTTCAGCTCTATAGCCTCCCGTTTATCTTTTCGCGGATCCTCATGGCCCACTTGTATAGACAATATGGGGCTATATGATAGCCTTTCCGTGACCTAGTTCTTTGATACACATGTGGATCGTTCCTCCGCGTAGTAAGCCTTCTAACTTTCCCTGTTGAATAGATATACATGTACCTTTTTCTCTCCAGGGCTTTCACAGCATTTTAATGCTGTCGCATCCGAACGTAACATCGCGCCTGGAATGCAGCGCACTCAAGACTCTAGATTCTCTAAGGTCACTTACATTGGTTCACGGTACCAATTTCTGGTAAAGAAAGTTCACACTACAAAGTTACGGATGGAAATATGGAGTTATCCACGACAGCCGAGGCTCAGGATGATATGCGAACAATTTCATCCGGTACACCAACAATATGATATTCTCGAAAGGCTAGACCTTCTGAGTACCTCTCTCCTTTACGAGCAGCGTCCTTGAGACGAAGAAAACCCCTGCCGCTGCTATCATAACAGTCTGCACAACATGGAAATATGTCCAAGAAAGTAGTCAGGCCTGGGTATATCAAAAACCTAATTAAACTTACCCCAGAAAAGGCGATAGGCCTAATCCAGAAGAACTGTGACGTGAGAAGAGCGCCTTGAGCGGGAGCGGCACCAAGGGTACCAAAGCTGCTGAATGCGATTCCAATACCTGTTCGAGCTCTAAACGTACAATTAATTAAAGGGTTCTCCTTGAGAATGGGAGAATAAAGCCTCACCCCACTTCCTTAGGTGTCTTCGAAAGAAACGCGAGAGAGGCCACGACTAGAGAAAGCCAGGCTCCAGAAAATATACCATACAGGATGCTGACAACTATCAGAGACGCTCGATCGTTTCTATAACAGACATACATCAGCAGTGAAAGTTATTTGTACGATTAAGGATCACTGACACTCCAAGAATCGCCCATATGGTAGCAGCTGCACTCAACGATGTAATCACCAAAAGATTGAAGGGCCCATACAAGTCAGACAAGAAGTTTCCTACTACTCGCCCTATCGCACCGCATCCATTCACGATTGCTAGCTAAGGAAACGCACAGTATCAACGCCTGCTGAATAGAAAAAAGATCGTTCAACTCACTGAGTAGAATGCGAGAGTAAGATCGACGCTGTGCTGCACAGCGTATAATTGTAAGTATATCACAGGAAAGTAGAATCCGAAGCTAGCGAAGAGACCGCTTGATGTATAAAGAATCGTAGGTATCACAAACACTCGCAGGAAAGTAAACCTTACGCTATCATGGCATTCAGGTACGGCCCTTCCATAAACCAGGCTTTCACGTTCGGAGGAGGTCCAGACGACGACCGACCTGGAAGCCTTGTACGCATTAATGCAACGCCGACCACAAGACAAGCCAGGACCACATATGCACTTGATCTAACTGATTCAGAAAAACTCCTTGTCTGAAAGAGGCGGCTTCACGAACAAGCCGAAAAGGATATGTCAGCCATCACGTCCATTTTGCTTGCATATACCATGATTCCGTGAACTCTCGATAAAACTTACTTCAGCACTGTGTATGTATGATATGAGTATTAAGTAAATGCGTGTCAAGCAATGAACACACTGATTGGTATAGCTATAGCCCCACAAGAGCTTCCGGACAACGCTATACCTGCAGCTAGTCCACGCCATCGTCTCCAATGATGTGCAGTTAGACCAACCGTCGGAATGAACGTCAAGCCAAGCCCTATCCCCATCCCTACTGCTTGGCTCAGGAAAACCTGAATGGTTTAGGTTAAAACATTGTAAGACGAGAGTTAAATTATACGGCTGACCTGATAGTACTGGTTTGGTTTCGCCAAAGAGAGCATGAACAGCCTACCGAATGGTAAGAATGCAACGGCATGCGGAGCAGAACAAGAGTACACACGAGAATACAAATATGATGGAACCCAATATCTCCAGAACATAGAAATACCCAACATCGAAGAGCTTCCCAGACAAAAGACCAACCAGGAAGGGCATCATGAACTGAAAACTGCCAATCCAACTGTAGAATATTCAGTCGAGAAGATCTGATACCGGATGTTGAAAGTACCTAATGTCACTCGGGTCGTGGTTAGTTAGATAGATCCGAGTATAATAATCTGAGGACGAGTGAGCTGCATGTAAGTAAATTGAGAGTAACAAGAAAACCTTCGTATACTCCGAATGAGTAGAGGTAGCCGAAGGTGGCGAACAGGACGAGCCACCTTAAGAGGATGTTAGGAGTAATCTAATGCGCATCTTGGATAGACTGACTGGCCAACTAGGGATAGACAAGCCTTGACTCCACCGTCAGGTATTTGGTACGCAGTTTCGGAGTCATCAGTTGTATAGACTTCCTCACGGATTGAGTCTTTCTTGGCCTCAGACGACATGAATTATGCAGAGTTATTGTCTAAAAGCCTCTGGAAGTGAAGGAAGAGGATATCACAGGCGACTAGAAGTGATTGTGACTGAATTTCCCAGAGACTAATGTAGAGAGCATCGTGAGTAGCTGAAACTGTTGGATATATTACTGAAGGGCGAGAGCGTTGACGTCCTGATTGCATCTGAAGAACACGCAGGAGTCATGCGGCCAAGTATTTGCACACATTGCTTTTCCGTCAAAGCTGAGCAGGAACATTAGAAGAGGTTCGTGGCAAAATTTCAAATAACAACGCGAACTTTTTGTCGGAGTTTGAAGTTGCTGATTTCGCGACCTCTGTCACTCCTTCCCCATCCGCATAACGGAAAACTTGTTGCGTTACGATCTATTACTAGCAATGATGTCGGTCGGTCAGACTTGTTACCGCCGAGCAGTACTGTTGAACTCCCATGGACTCCTCTTCGACGCCAACCCTCTCTAGTGAGACTTTTCTGGTCGACTCAACCCCTTCATTTGATCTTAAGGTTCTTGCGAAACGTTATGTTCCGAATCCACCCTTCAAGCTCTCAAGTAGTCCACACGCGATTACATTAGTTTGCTTTCACGCAACCGGATTTTTCAAAGGCACGTAGTTATGCAGTTATGCTCAAGTCCAAAAGAAGAACACTGGGACGCTGGAGCACATGATAGACAACTACAGTTCTAACTAATTCATAGAAACTTGGGAGCCATTACTGCAACGCCTCCTGAGTAGACTCCAAGAGACCCAGGATGCTAAGAGTTCGTTGCAAATTGGAGATATTTTCTCCATTGAAAGTCCAAATCATGGTGAATCCGCCGTACTGAATGAAGAGGTCTTGGAAAGGGTATATGGAGACACTTGTAAATCATAAATATACTTGACGAGATTGCACAGACTCATAGTGTATAGGGAGCAATAGCATATATTCACGGGCTGCGATGGAGTTCCTCACAGCTGGTGAGGAACGCGGAGCCAAAATTGATTTCTCAAAGCGTCGCCTCGTAGGCGTCGGACATTCCATGGGCGCAGCAGCTATGTAAGTTTGTAAAACAAGAAAGTCGCTGATGTCCTGATTCATCGTAGGGTTATGCTTGTCAACATGGCACCGTCGTTGCACTTTGAGCGTCTCATCTGCATTGAGGCTGCGGTTTCTCGGCCGGATATTCCCGGCAGATTCGAAATGTCAAAAGCACTCACATATCTCGCTTGGACTCGCAAGGACGTCTGGACGAGTCACAAATCTGCCATGAAAGAGTTCAAATCGAACCCAGTTTACAGTCAGTGGGACCCCAGGATATTTGAGTTATTCTCCGTGAGTATCTTTACCCAGTTGAACTCAGACCGCTCAATATTGAATTACTTGGCAAAAAGCGTTATGCATTGCGAACACATCCTGCTGCTCGCTACGCCGAACCTTATTGCTTCAAAGGTATAACAACAGCTCTCACAAAACGTCAGGAAGCTGTATGTTTGATCTCTTTCTTGGTTTTCTTAGTACAAATGATTGATCTCGTCCGTCTGTCAGGCGTGTTACCGTGATGAAGAGCTTGTCTACCGTGCACTTAAAGAGTACGCTGAGCTTACTCGCAAGATGCCTGTGCATGTGATATTTGGTGATACCCCAGACATCAGGTACATTTCCCGAGCGTGAAATTTTTCATATCACTGACGCTATTACGGTACAGTCCTGGGGAACTGCAAAGTGTTCACACGGATAAGGATCTAGGGTGTTATCCTACTTCGGTGTCATACGTCCGTGATGTTGGACATCTGGCCGTTCAACAAGCGCCAGACGCAACTGCGGATGAGATCTTTGAGGTTCTAAAGAAGTTCTCAGCGTCGAATAGGAGTGAGATTAAGGCCGCACTATGAGATCCGACCGCAGTTATAGTTCCTATTACATGACTTAATGCCGTGGATCAACGTCTCGACGTAATGTTTTGGTTCTGCTCCACGCTTGTGTTGATCTTGAATGTTCTATCTGTTAGCCGTAGTGAATAAAGTACACTCACTGTATGATACGCGTTTGCTAAGTGGAAACCTGCTGACCCTCATAGGCTTCTTTATTAAGTAGTGATCCCGAACATGAGCAATCAGGCGCCGGAATGGTATGAAATGAAGCAAAGCCCGATAGACGCCGCACACACCATCCAATTCCCGCAGATTCTTGCAGTTCCGACTAACAATGGAGGTTCCATTCCTGATACTATGATGTGGGGTAACTCACACTTCTCTAGACCACTCGTATCATCCTCCTTTCGGTGGTTCCGTCGCAAACCCGCATGTAAAGAAAGGGGGCACCAATTCAATAAGGATTTAAGTTTCAAAGGACCGGTAATCACAAGCTGAGGAACCAAAAGATGTTCCACTGCGTTATTCTTTCTATTGTATACTACGATTTATTCCATTTCATTAGTTTGAACTTGAGCATTGCCGTTATGGATGTTTCAAACGTATATCAAGGACGAGAAGCAAGAATGTGATCATATCCACGCATATCATCCTTCCGCGAAGTCCGTGAGCTTCCATACCACTGGCCGTTGAGATTCTTCTGGCTTAAGGAGACCTCTTCTTTCCGGCCATCCATCCAAATAGGGTCGACTTGAATGATCAAAGATTCAAATTTGCCTTTGAGATAGGTATCAGCCTTAGGGTGGCAGTGGGCCAGATTCAATTTGGTACTTGCCTCTCTAGTCACCACGAATACTTGATCGCTGATGCTCCGCATTGCAAACCCCGCCTCACTGTATGCAAAATAATCTTAAAGGTGTATAATATCAGTCAAGTTATGGCCTAGTTATCCGATTGGCGGATAAATAATTCTTACAAATAAACTTGCGTCTAAAAATCTCCAGTTCAGCCATAGTCAGAGTTGGGAAGTGGTTCATCATGGCCGGTCCTATGTGACTGTCGAAGTTCCGTTGGAAACGGTAACTCCATTCACGTAGGGTACGAGCGTAATCTGGTCAGGTTTCGATTGATATGCTCAACACTTTTGGGTACTTGCACATAATGACAGGTAGAGGACTTACGAGGGCCAATATCCTCGATACTATTTACATTTAAACCGGCGTCACGAATGCTGGTAACGAGTGTGTGTACGGACGATAATTGTCCGCCGCTTAACAGTAACGCCTTAGTAAGATACCAAGCATGGTACGAAACCGGCCAGAACGTACGGATAGATATATTTGCGGACGAAGTCAACCTCTCTATATATAATAAGGTTGTTAATTTAGCAAGTTACCAGCAGAATAAGGAATCAACGAACGTTGCGTAAAGATTCCATCTAGTATCCGGAACTGTGCTCATCGTGAAAACTTTAAACGATCCTTCTTCTTTCATCGCCCAGCTCATCGACTTGAACCATCCCGTCATGAACTCGATGCCAACTGAGTTTGCATATTTCAAGTTGAGTTCTAGTTTAAGGAAATCAACAAATGTCTCACCATGTTCCATGACACCGATTGATACAACGGCGTCAAAAGCATGGTGAAACGCAGGAGGCATGTTTCGATAGTCCAAATAATGCACATTGATAGCATGAGTAAGACCCGCAGCTTCAATTCGACGTTTCACATCATGTAACTGTTCTTGTGAGATTGTAATAGTGTCTACTTGTGCACCGTACTCGCGTGCGGCAAGCATAGCAAAGCTGCCCCATCCGCACCCGATCTCCAGGACACGTGAACCAGGTTTTATTCGGGCGCGATCAGCAATCAGCCGGAGCTTCGCCAACTGTCCTCGTTCCAGGTCGTCGGCGGATATGACTCTCGGCTCATCAAGAGAACCTTGGGGAGGTGCAATGGGCCGATCCTCCACAAGATCTCCAACCTCGCCCTTAGCCTCTTCGTCGAATATTGCACAGCTGTAGCTATTGTTGTATGCATAGCAATCAGTAATGTGACAAACATTCAAACACAGTGAACATACGTGAGGTCACGCGAGAGAAACGCATTGAATACTTCCGTAGGAAGATCATAATGCGCACTTGTAAGTCCAGTGTTAGAATTTGCAAGGCCCTTTTAACAGATTGCTCACGAGATGTTGCTACGACTGCCAGTGATTTTATTTGCAAGTCTTGAATTAGCACTACAGTGCGTTAGTAAAAGCAAAATTTGCTTAGTTCAAAAGTGCGCACACATAGCTGAGTGCTCGAATGAAGGGCGAGACAGATGTTGCCATTTCATTTAGTATTTTCCGATTCAAAATAAAAATCTTTCCAAAAAGGATTACATGATTAGTGAATCGCTGAATTAGAATGCACGTGGCACAACGCACCCTAAAGAGATCGTTTAAGCTGTCTACCTCAACTTCATCCAAAAGGAACGCATCTGTCGGATCCGATACTTCAGTCTGAGAAACAGGTGTACATAAATTTGAGTTCGCGGCGCACCAGCGAATCCGAAGTCGGCATGTAGGAAAAGCCGAGTCCAGACGCCACTCTTGAGCAACTTAATTGTTGCAGACAGCTGGCGGGGAGGTCCATCGACGCGGTGAAGTGTATACCTGCTCCCGAAATCCCAGGACTCGCCTTCAAATTCAACACGCAACTGGCCCCTTGCAATCTTGTTCAGAAGATTGAGGACACACTTTTTTGCTGTAGAGTTTGCAAACGTATGCCAGTGTGAGAGCAGATGCCGTACTCAATTGAAGAACACGTGACCCACCAATGCCATCCAACAAACCGGCACTGCTCGTGCCTTGTTGGAGCGTAGTCACAGCGCGTTCCACAAGGCCTAGGATTGTACTCTCGGTCTTGGTCGAATAGTTGACTGTCTGGATATACTCCGTTGTCTTGCTCATGATGTAGTTTATCGTCGAGTTGCAGCGGAAAAGATTCAGCCTTTACGGCGACTTTCCGGAGACTACGGCTCACCGTCTTTATACTTCTAAGAAATAACATCTGATCGGTTTCCCATGGGCGACCGGACTCGTTCGGGGTGTCTGGAGTCTGATTACCCTTGGTTCTCTTGATTGATGATGAATTCTCAAGATTTGGACATATCAAATGGGGCGTCATTGGTCAAAGCCAAATTTATTTTTGAAGGGAAATAGGATACAAATCGGCTCGCGCTCAGAAGAAGATCCGCGGGGGCGAATGGAGACCGGTGGTCCTAGGATGCCAATGCAAACTTCTCCTTGTACTGTATCTCACGAAGTTTGTCCTTGGAGCCAGGCTTCGAATTGACCTTGGTCGTGAGGTCTACATTAGCATTTATAAACAGTCCGTTAACGACCTTGGCACTTGCCTAGCCCTCGCTCACCACCATGTCAGCTCAAGCTCCAGTTCCCGCCATAAACCTTGACATAACCCTGGGCGCCTTATTGGTCGGGTCGTACATTTCTTGTACACTCTTCGGTTTTACGTGTCTACAGACGTACAATTATTACACCAACTATTCTGATGATCGGTATTTCCTTAAGACATTCGTAAGCTTTCCTTCTCGAAACGTCATCGGACACTAACCGTTATCCAATTATGCATTATACAGGTCGCGTGTATCTGGTATGCCCTTTTTTCACCCTGAAGTACTTGTTACGCCCCTGAACCTCGTCGAATGACCCCAGGATCCTCGAGTTTGTACACACGATTTTCGTAACCCGCACTTTCTATGAAATGGGAGTCACAAACTTTGGAAGCTTCGCGGATTTCCTTGAGCTGCCATTTGTATTAAAATTTTCCATTGTGTGGAGCAACTCGGTAGCATGCTCTGTCCAGGTGAGATCACCCAGCCTGGGCCTTGTTCCCGAAGTTACAGACCTCGCTAACATGCGTATATTCTACAGGCATTTTTCGCAAACCGGATTCGCGTAATGTCTGGTCGTTGGGAACTGTCCATCCTTTGTTGGACTTTATCGGTTCTGCGTTATGTTGCCTCTCTCGTCGCAACAGCAGAAGAGATCAAAATAAAAAACCAAGTTGCATTTAATGCGAAATTCAAATGGATCATTGTCCTCGTATTGGCAGTAGGAGCCGTGAATGACGTGCTTATTGCGGCAGGCTTGAGTCTCTATCTGAGCAAGAGCCGGAGTGGAATAAAGACGTAAGATCGAGCATTCTGGATAATGCGAAAAGTCGACTAAAAGCATTCACAGTACGGACCGAATTGTCAACAGGCTCATTAAATTTACAATACGTGAGTGCTATGATGATGTGTCGATATCTTTGACAACTGACTCTCATTGTAGAGTCTGGACTCCTGACGAGGTATTGATTTTTTTTCCCTCTATGTTGTCTGCAAACCAACCATCCATCTTGCCTTGAAGTGTTGTTGCCACAGCCATGTTGATCTGCGTAAGTTAGTGAATACTCTTGCAATATGCATCAAAGCTAAGTTGTCTTCATTAGTACCTAACGATGCCGGACAACTGTAAGCTTACTGTTCGCTCTGCTACAACTGCCTGCTTACGGTCCTGTAGTCATCTGGCTTGCTCTGTTTGTATTCCTTGCCAAAAGTGAGTTCGTATTCTAATCCTCACGACAATGTAATCTAACAGGATAACTTGTTCAGCATATTCCAACTCATTCCTAGCTACGTACGTCCAAGCACGAAGCCATTCCGTCAAGTGCTCCATTTTATTGACTACATTGCCAGCCTAAACGCACGAAAGAGCCTACGCTCTCATTTCGGTAGCAGAGATAATGGACACTCCGCAGTCGCATTTACGTCCGTGAACGGCAGTTTCGGTACAGGCCAGGCTTCAACGACACGCCAAAATACCTCCAACGTATCAAACTCACTGCAACCGAAGTCAAAGAAGCATCAGCCAATTGCGATAGAAATGACGAACGTCACGACAACATCATCGGATGATGATTATGCCAAGGTGTGTTAAAAGGGTTGCTTCAATTATACTTCCGTATTTGTTAACTCTGTCCACAAGGGAATTCACAGTGACAATTCATTCCTTGACACTGGCCATGCCAGATCTGAGCGCACATTCTACCCTATCTGATGTATGTCCGTATCCACTTTGCTCTTTATTTTGACTTTGGGATTGTATTCATGTAAAATCGCCTATCACTCGAGATTGTGTGTCTGTCGATTTCTACCGCAATTGAGATGTGCGAGCTCCCGGGCAGTCTTAGGATTGTATTTCAGGCACATAATTCATTGATACAATCAACGCCGTCCGAAGCAGTTCTTGTGTCAAATGCCATACCGATTGTATGGCTTCGCTTAGCAGCTTGGCTCTTATGTGCCCAGGACATCATCACACGAGGTACTGAATTGCGGCGCACTGAAAGATCAAAGCCGCTAGAAGATGTACAGCGCTGACGCTCTCGAGTACATAGCAGAATCAATGCGCTGGAGTGTATCTGCATAGCCTTGCGGTGATCTTGGCTATGTACGTTGCACTTTGTGCTGTCAACATGACACCATGAGATTTAATACGTTGAATTACGAGAGCAAACAGAAGTATATTAAAGATAGTGGAACAGACGAATAAGGACATTTCAGATCAGGTGGGTCAACCGGCCTGCCTTTTGCCTTTGGCTAATCCATGGCGGCCACGGCATTTTGGATCAGAGAGACCGCTGCCGCTGATCTTGGCTTCAGCTGATATGGGAACGACTTGACATAACTGAAAATTGAAGAACGTTATTATGAGTGTCCAATACTTTTCTCACGCCACGTACCTGACGATAGCTGTCGAGAATGCGATCTCTGGGATAATCTCACGGCCTTCCTCATCGACTGCCCTGAGGATGTCAAGTGTGGCGAGCACTGTTGCGATCTGAATGAACACTGCAGACTCGGCAATGTGCATCCCAGCACAGATTCTCCGACCAAACCCGAAGACCCATTGACGGGGATCGGGTTGTGCCTTCCCTGATTTCGCATCGTACCGATCTGGGTTGAACACGTATGGGTCCGGATAGACGGATTCATCATGCAAGATTGCCCTGTCCTGACATTATTTCGAGGATACATTGGCTCTTCGAAATAAACTTACCAAATGTTTGCAAAAATAGTGCATCCTTTCGGAATGAAATAGCCCGAGAATACGTCGTCGCGAGTTGCACTGTGTGGTAGACCCATCGGTGATGGTGGTGCCCAGCGTAGTATTTCAGAGATTACATTGTTAATGAAAGGTAGATGTGCACGGTCTGTCAGGGTGGGCAGGCGGTCATTGCCAACCACACGATCAAGTTCGTCTTGTGCGCGACGCTGGATATCCGGGTACAGGCACATCATCAAGAAAAATGTCTTGACTGTAGATGTTGTCTTAAGATTAAATAAGCAGCAGACCAGATGTCTGGGCCTATCGTTTTGCTTACCGTATCAGCAGCACCGGCATAAAGTGCGCCAGCAGTCCAGAGTACGATGTCTTCATCCTCTTCAGTGACAGGAGGCTGCAGGTGAAGGGATGTGAATGATGGTTTTGCAGTGCCTGCAGTCTGTGATTGGGTGAGAGATGAAAACGCTGCGATCTAAGCCATACTCACCATTTGTTCCTTTACAAAGTTGAAAGGTACCAGACTTTGCGTATATAACTGGCTGCTCCATTCTTCTGCACTACGACGGAAGCTTGCGCCAGGAAACCAGCGGGGAATAAAACGCACTTATAATCGTGTTATAAGCACCATTGCTATCTTTACAACTTGTCGAACTCACAGATAGGAAAGGAGTCAACAAGCCACTTGCCCGGAGTAGCGGCAAGTGATGCAACACGCATGGACTCTTCCGCCATGGCGACAAAATAGTCATCCGAACTCTTGATTGTGTAGCCATATGCAATGTGCATAATCACGGCCGCAGCATTCCTGTCAAGCCTGAGTTACTTTGTATACGGAGAACCGTGCATGCCACATACTTTCGCAAATGGCCTTCAAGGTGCTGAGGATCACTCTGCTGCAGAAGGTTCATGACCATGAGTCGCGACTCTGCTTCTTGTACGCCCCAATACTTTTGAGACGCTGTCGGATTGAAATCCTGATGCATGAGTCTGCGAGTCGTTTTCAGGCGTTCCCCATATTTCCTGTACATTTTTTGTCAAGTACTTTCAGAATGCCATGCTAAAATAATACTTGCATAAGGAAGATAGATTTCTCTCGACGCAGCAGTTGACCGGCCATCACTGGGAAAGGACGATCCGAATAAACCGCCGAGTTTTGGTCCAGCATCTCGATCGCGGCTTTCGCGGAATTGAGGACAATGATGCGACGACCCAGGACATGGAATGATATTATGCCATTAACACCGTACTTCTTCCCCCATTCTGCATATGTTTTCCAATATTCGGTTCTTGGATGTTCTCGAACGACGCCGAGGATGGGAAGACCGCGGGGGCCAGGCGGGTAAGGCTGCTCTACCCTGCGTGCATAACCTACAGCGGCTATCACGACAGACGCGATGACAAGTGCATGGAATGCGTAATCTGAGGACATAGTCGTCAGTGGAAGAACGGAGATGATGAGGGGCCTAAAGACCGACTGATGGAGACCTGTTTTTACTATGGTTGTGCAATTGAACACATCGCCCGTTTGTTGAAAGAGCAGGACTGTGTGCGAAATGGTTACTAGCCGTGGGTATAGTAGCCTAAACTTACCTTTTGAAGACATAGAGTCTACTCAATTACTAATTATACATACCATAATCGGATCACAGCAGCGCTAAATTTAACACCAACAGCTTTCACGTGCTTTCATATAATCACACCAACATGGCTTGCTCTTGCTTCAATGCTCGATTGACGAGTCAATGACGACTTTCGAACTGGTCTGCTTATTTGAATTACTCACTTTGCATATGCTGAACGCTTGAAAGTCCGTTGTTCTGCCGATGAAATAACTACGTGCACATAGTATGCTATCCTCTTTCAGTCCGTCTGATATCTGCAAGGTAGCGTAGAATCGCCGTAGGCAATCGATGAGTGTCATGCGGTCATACAAGGGGTTCCGGGTTATCCGGACAATCAAACTGCTGTCCGGGACCATCTTATCATGTCAGGAACACAAGCCAGGCAAACCACAGTATCGTTTATAGTAAATTGTACTCTATACTATGCTATCTCTGTATGGATACCCTGTTGTGGTCGCACAGCCTATCAACTGGCAAATATAGACTATAGCATAGCCATAGAGTAATTGGATGCAGATTTGGAACTTAATATTATATATCGGGACAAGATAAGGCCCAATACAGGGTGTAAATTTCTTTGGCCAGATATTTGATAACAGGATGGGAAGTGTCATAACATTTCCTCCGTGTGCCACGCATCAACACCTCACTTCGTGATTGGACTTCTGTACATGCCAATAAAGTGCAGCATATTTTGTTGTCAATACCATACTTTGGGTTCGTTGTGGCGCTATACTATACGCAGCATTTAGTCCGGTTAATTGGATTCCTTAATTTTTTTATTACATAGTCAGAACACTCCAAGTTCAGGTTCTGTGCTGTGCCTCGCAGCTGCAGCGACATGCAACTATGGGATCACAGAGGAGGCCGATATCATGGAAGGCATGATATGTTTGGAAGCTTCCCAAGTGTATTGGTACCGTACTTGACGGACTTCAATCATGCCAAAATTCTTGGGTACTCTGAAAGGATTCCGAGATGTACTGCGACAGGAACCATAATCTTTGATGACTAAAGGTCCGAAGCAGTACAAGTGAAATCAAGGCTCATGTACATACCTAGATCGAACATTAACATAAAGGTTGAATGTTGCATTCATCGTCGCATCATTTAGGAAGCAGAATGTTTCCATTGGTGTTTGGGCTTAACGACGATTCGCGCAGTCAAATTTCGCGCACGACTTGTCCCACGCGGAGCTTCATGCTCCGGATGCACTGGTACGCCCAATCTCGTAGTGGAAAGCATCCGATAATCCATGCAGCTGACGATGTTATTTGGTCTTGCATCTTGCCATTGCTGGCTGTGTCCACAGTATAAATACGGGATATGAAGGGATTGAAGAGGTCATCAGTAACCAGTTACCAGTCACTCAGAAATGTCTAGCTCAAGCACGATTCTCCACCTTCCAGACACCTTAGCAAATTGGCCTTGGCCACGAGCGATAAACCTGTACTATGAAGAGGTGAAAGCTGAGTCTCGTGCTTGGTTCCACAGCTTCAAGGCATTCTCTGCGAAGTCTCAATATGCATTCGACAAATGCGACTTCGGTTAGTTTGTCTACCTGTATATACCATGTACACATTATGCTGAAACATACGGTGATAGCTCTCCTTGCTTCACTCGCGTACCCAAGAGTCTCGAGAGGTAGGATTTCTATTCCACGTCGATTCAACGTAAGAACTGAAGAACGTTTAGAGCACTTACGCACAGGGAGTGATCTCATGAATCTGCTCTTCGCCATCGACGAATATACCGACGTGGAACCTGCACCGGTGGTTCGAAACATGATGGACATCGTTATCGATGCGATGAAGGACCCTCACAAACCTCGACCAGAAGGGGAAGTTATTCTCGGCGAGATCGCTCGGCAGTAAGTAAAAATCCGCTTCTCCTTAACTTTCTAGATTACTGAGTAACTCTATCAGATTTTGGGAGTTAGCGATTAAAAGTGCGACTCCGACTGCTCAGCGTCATATGATTGAAAGCCTTGCAATAAACCTCGACGCGGTCGTGCAACAGGCAGATGACCGTGACAACGACTCGTACCGTTCAATAGCTTCTTACCTTGCAAACCGTCGCGAGAACATTGGTGCTAAGCCAGCGTATGTGCCGCTGGAACTTGGACTCGATCTCCCTGACGAGGTTTTCTATCACCCTGTTATCGTCGAGCTGTCGGATTATGTCGCAGATTTAATAGGACTGGACAATGTGGGTCGTCAATGATAGCATTCTCGCATCGAATTTCCAGTACTAATCATAAACCCATACTGTCAGGATATTGCTTCCTACAACAAGGAGCAGGCTACTGATGACGACAGGCACAATATTGTCACTGTGGTAATGCACGAGCTAAAGGTAGACCTGGACGCTGCTATGCAATGGGTCTTGAACTATCATCGAGAAACCGAGGCGAAGATCCTGGATGCCATTGAGCGCGTACCTTCCTGGAGGTCTGACATTGATCGTCAAGTTAGGCAATACATCGACGGTCTTGTCCACTGGCCACGAGGCAATGATTGCTGGAACTTCGAGAGTGGAAGGTATTTTGGTAACAAAGGCCCCGAGATCCAAAAGTCTCGCCAGGTAGCGCTACTTCCGAAGGCTAGAATCTCTACGAAGGATGGTTCACTGAAGCGCGAAGACGTCATCGTCCCGCTTATAGAGTCTCTGGGGGGTTGACCAGAATCTAAATTAACACTGTTGTCAATAACTCCGCATTCGACTTGTCATATTGGTGAAGTAAAACATCATGAAAGTCCCCGCGAACAGTCGAACCAACAATACACGATAAATATAGATGTGTAAGCTTTACCCAGTATTATATTGTAGTGTGATACCTGCGTTAGAGCTTCGCCATTCCGGAGAAATCACTATGTACCTAGTAAGCGCTGATCGGGACTCGGCAGTCTGCGAAGTGACCAGGTTACCAGGCCTGGGGTGCAAACAATGGGATGAGGTTTGGAAAGCGGAGAACCCCAGTCATTTTTTTTACGAAGAGATTCAGGTTAAAAATAGAATGACGAACAGGAGGGAACATATTTTTTTTGCTTGAGATAATGTTCTGTTGAGCTTGAAAGTTGGAAAAGGAAAGGACTAAGAATCTAAAGTACCATACCATAGTAACAATACCATACATACCAAACGGATATGTAGTTCCAAATAAGGCGTGGGAACTAGGAACTTCACACGTGCAACTGGATTGACGACATTCTCTATGATGTCGCATTATTGCCTTGCCTTTGATCGCCCAGCTTCTCCTTAGGAATTGCAACACTCTAGTTCAGTCCAGCCACACTCTCAAGCCGGAGGTAACTTGAATCCTGCCCTGTGCTATCCCGTGTAGACCTGTCGGAATGCTCTCTTTGACACAACTCTCCCAAAAACTGTGCAATGTCTGACATGTTGTATCTGACCATGTGGCTTTGAATACCGGTATCCACTGTTCCGAATTGGCCTTGACACCCGCGTCAATTTCATATCTGCATGGAAGAGCCAGGGTGGTCATTCACCGCTTCAACAGAATACTCCTGTTGCTTCCCGAAGCTTGCACAGTCTGAATTGTCTTCCCGTCCACCACCCACGCGAGTGCTATAGAAAATTTCTTCAGCTTTAATCCTCGTCTAATTCACGGGATCAACGATAAACTATTAAAAAAGTAGGAACTCGTGGACTTAACGATCTCTCACATTTACTTCAATTTACGGCGTTGACGCCTGACATTGCGCATATGTCTCCGTGCTGTGATGTCGGTCGTGGGTCTTCCGTGCACTCGACGGAGTTTTAGTGTACACTGTTGTACTGTGAGAGCATCCGATGATATCGCGTATAGGTACCCAACGTACTACCCGCAGAGGAACTTAAATTATGCTGTGAATAATTTGCAAAGACTGTCTACATGTGGAGGAGCTAAACTAGATAGTATAAAAGCAAACGAATCGACCTCTTCATCCGCAGCAGAAATACGCGCTTCTCACTATGTCTTGTACAAGCACTACCCTCTTCCTCCCAGAGCTCCTCGCCAATTGGCCTTGGCCTCGAGAAATCAACCCTCACTATGAAGAGGTCAAAAAGGAGGCCGATGCATGGTTCCGCAGCTTCAATGCATTCTCCACTCGGTCTCAACTTGCCTTTGACAAGTGTGACTTCGGTTGGTTGATATATACTTCTTGCTCTCCCTTTTGCTGATGCCTTTCTATCTAATATCAGCCCTTCTCGCATCTCTCGCGTATCCTCGAGTCTCGAAAGGTCGGTTGCATGTACATGATGTAGCGAAGCTCTATTCACAAATTTTATCTTGTTTGACAGAGCATCTCCGAACAGGGTGCGATCTTATGATCCTACTATTTGCCATTGACGAGTACACCGATATGGAGCATGAAATTGCGGTCCGAGAAATCATTGACATCGTCATTGATGCTATAAATAATCCTCACAAGGCCCGTCCTGCTGATGAGCTCGTCCTCGGAGAAATTGCGAGACAGTCCGTCTTTGTTTTGTCTTCGGAGTTTTCCATTTTTCATAGTCTTCTCTAGGTTCTGGACTTTGGCGATCAAAACTGCGACCAGGACTTCCCAGTGCCACATGATTGAGGGGCTGGTCGCCAACCTTGAAGCTGTCGTTCAGCAAGCAGCCGACAGAGATAATGACGAATACTATTCTATTGCATCTTACCTCGAGTTTCGACGAGAAAATATTGGTGCCAAGCCAGCGTTCGTTCCAATGGAGCTTCACCTCGATCTGCCGGATGAAGTATTTTACCATCCAGTCATCACCGAGCTGTCCCAATATGTCACTGATATGGTCATACTGGATAACGTGAGTAGAACTAACTTGGACGATCAGAGATAACGTACTAAATCATCACTCCAGGACATGAACTCGTACAACAAGGAACAAGCGACCGGTGACGACCATGCCAACATAGTCACTGTCGTGATGCATGAATTGCATACTGGTTTGGACGATGCCATGGAGTGGATCTTAAAATACCACCGCGAGCTGGAGACGAAATTCTTGGACGGGCTCAAACGCGTTCCTTCCTGGAGTTCCGAAATAGATCTACATGTGCAGCAGTATGTCCACGGGCTTGCTAATTGGCCTCGGGGAAATGACTGCTGGTGCTTTGAAAGTGGCCGCTACTTCGGAAGCAAGGGGTTAGAGGTTCAGAGAACTCGCCGGGTGCCACTTCTGCCGAAGATTTGTCAGACAAGCATCGAGACTCCAGGGCGAGAGAGTATCGTAGTGCCGCTCATAGACTCCATGGAGGTGAGAGCATGAGACGCGAACAGTCAGACTTGATATTTAATTGGACCGGAACGTATGAAACGACATCATGTTTTAGCTTTTAGTTATTACCTGTCGTCACTTAGTGGTCCAATCCAATTACCAATATTAAAGGAGAGAACAAAAATTTGGTGTCTCAGGCAAAGACATAACTTGTAATGTGGGCGACTTAGGCTTTAGCACTACGGTGGTCATGCACTAGTTCGGTAGTCCTGCATATGCTAACTCTAAGTAGAAAAAATTTCAAGGAACGATGATCAGATCAGAGAAGTTCGGCAAACTGTTAGGTACACGTACCATACCATACCACGTGAACTGCCTTACGGGGCAATCCGGCGCAAATCAAAGTCTCAAAAATGTAGTAGTAACTAGTATGTCTGTTCCACAACTGCGCGCAAGCAGCCTTGCTATGCTCGACGCGCCCATCGTCAAGCGAACCTTGATGGCCGATGGCAGAAAACTTAAGTATGGGTGCGATCGTACCAGCGGATTTTGCTCCTTGAACACCATCATCGACAACATTCATGGCCACCAAGATCGATACTTCTCAGATGTCCTCCCTTCCAACTCTCGACAAGCTCGGTGTTAAGCTTCCCGAAACTTTAGACGTGGAGCGCATTGCTTCGGAGTGGTTCCATGACTTCGCGAGCCGAGTTACGGCGGGCAATGCTTGGTCTGTCTCCGAAATGTTATTCGACGGTGCTTTATGGCGAGATATGCTGGCACTGACTTGGGAGTTTCGTACTTTTGAGGGAACGACGAAAATAAAACAGGCGCTCCATGATCTGCTTCCGATTGTAGGACTGTCTAAATTGCAACTCAAGGAGGATTCCGTTCAGTTGCAACAACCATTTCCCGACCTTGCATGGATTCAAGGCGTGTTCACTTTTGAGACGGTAGTTGGTATTGGATTCGGAGTGTTTCGCATCGTTCCCACGGCCTCGCAGGAATGGAAGGGCTATACCTTATATACGAATCTCGAAGAGTTGAAGGGCTTCCCCGAACGAACGGGCCTTAACCGGGATTCCGCTCCAAATCATGGCATGTGGCCACAGAAACGGAAATCAGAGACAGAGTTCAAGGATGGAGAACCAGCTGTTGTGATAATTGGTGGTGGACACAGTGGTCTCGAAATCGCCGCGCGTCTCAAACTTCTGGGTGTTTCCGTTCTTATATTAGAAAAGAACGCTAGAGTTGGGGACCAATGGAGAGGACGATATGATTCACTGTGCCTCCATGATCCCGTCTGTGAGTTCAATTTGATGGTCCATCGAACTTTTGCTCAAATGAGGTAAAGGGTATGATCATATGCCGTACATTCCGTGAGTGTAATGCCTTCTACAAGTTCCGAGCTTGGCGCTTATGGCAAGCTCAAGGTTCCCCTCATCATGGCCAGTGTGGACTCCGGCACCGAAGGTAACGATAAGCCTCAGTTCTTCAGCGTGATCTGCTTTTAATTGCGGGAATCAGCTGGCAGACTGGCTGGAATCCTATGCTCAGTCCATGGAGCTTGATATTTGGGTAGGTACTGAGGCAAAGAAGGTAGAACAACTTCGAAATGGTCAAGGCTGGGTTGTAACCACCGAGTCTTCGGACGGGTCTTCACGGATGCTGAGGCCTCGCCATGTCGTTATCGCCACCGGATTTGGAGGTGGAGAAATAAACATGCCAACCTTTTCAGGAATGGTGAATGAATATTAATTCTCTTAATATGCGGCTGAAATATGGAAAGGAATCTTCAGGAAGAGTTTGAAGGCAAGATCGTCCATGCGATGCGATTCAAGACAGCGAAAGATCACGTAGGCAAGAAGGTCGTCATTATTGGATCATGCACGTCTGGTAAGCTTATGGTACCATGCTATTCTAGTAGTAGCAGGGTCTAACAGACTTCTCGTTCATGACAGCACATGACGTAGCCTTTGATCATTGTCAACACGGTATCGGTCAGTTCATTTTTTTCTTCTCTTATTTACTCTTAGATTAATTATCTGCTAGATGTTACGATGTATCAAAGGAGTTCAACCTATATCATGTCCACGGAAAAAGGCGTACCAATCCTGTTCGCGGGTCAGCGTTAATTTAACACCGCTTCTTTTATTTCTCTTTGTTCATTATTCAGTAGGCATGTATTGTGAAGGAGGCCCTCCTACTGACTTAGTTGACCGTATGGGAGCATCCGTTCCGTGGAAGATGTTGATTCCCATCCAGCAACGATTGACGAAAATAATAGCTGAGCAGGACGCGTTCGTTATATAATTAATAATACACCTCTTGCGCAAGACTTAGACGTTTTTTGCAAACAACAGTGGCATTCTCAAGGGCCTGGAGCAGCGCGGTTTCAAACTGACCTTCGGTCCCAATGGAGCTGGTATAGTGGAACTAGCATACACACGAGCCGGTGGATACTACTTGGACGTCGGAGCTAGCCAGCTCATTATTGATGGAAAGATTAAGCTTAAGAATGACAGCGCGATTTCCCGCTTCTCGAGGTCCGGGATCGTCTTCGAAGATGGCAGCGAGCTACCGGCCGACGTTGTCATTTTTGCAACAGGGTGAGCCTAGCCATACATTGCTTCGACTGGGTTAGGCTAGTATGACTGACCTTTACTCCGATTTGCAGTCTTGGAAATACCAAAACGGGCATTGCAAAACTAGTGGGAGAGGAAGTTGTATCTCGACTGAGTGACATGCCTGTCATTAACGACGAAGGCGAGATGGCGGGGCTTTGGAGACATAGTGGAGTTCAGGGCTTATACCTCATGATAGGTGAAATATAAGATGTGTTCGTGAACTCTGGCTTCTAATAGTGTCTTTACTCAGGGAACTTATCATTGTCTCGGTTCCATTCCAAGCATCTGGCACTTTGTAAATACCTTTTTTATGTCTGTTGAGAAAGATGACTAACATGGCATTTCGGTTTTCAGTGATAAAAGCCCAGGAAGAAGGTATCGCTGGAGAAAGGTACACGAAATAAATGAAGGATCGGCAAGTCCCAGGTCAAATGCACCCCCATACGGAGTAGACCGTTGATAATAAATTGATGTTTTAGTATAATGAAAAATTAAAGGTAATAAACAAAAGTCAAGCTCGTAGCGATGTATAAGCTTCAATGATTAGGCATGATTCCTTTTGGACTTCGTTCCTGTCAGACAAAGCGCTTATCGTTGGTATGAAGTGATAGCCTTGAGCGATAATGGATCACGCTCCAACTATGCCGAAATTCGGAATATCTGAATTTATTTTCCTTGGTTCTTCTTTACATGAAGTAACTAAACGCGACAACGGATTACAAACACCAGTTGACCCATTCGCAAGAGAAGAAAATTGTGCGTATGCGGAGTAAAAGCACTCGCTCACTCTATTCAACCAGCGTCGCTCAGTGCTGGAAGCCCATTCTCTACAGTGTATGTCCAGCGACCAGCACGTCTTTCTCACGACGACGTTGTCGTCCACGGAAGAAGAGAATGAGGATTGTACATGAGAAGATGGTTGCTCCGTTAAAAATCAAAGCACGATGCATGTTACGTGGTGGCGTTGCGGATGAAGAAGCACGCAGAGCGGACATGACTGTGCAAGGAAAATAAATGTAAATTATCATGCATCTGTAACACAGGGATGGGCTTGCCTAAGACGAAAATGATCCCACCCAAGTTCGCGCTGCATACAACAGAGAGGAGATCGCATCACTACCCATTCATTGATAGGGACAGAGAGTGTAATCTACCTGAACCAAAGAATGGCAGAGCTCGCACCACTATTCCTTGTTAGTTCGCAACCGAGCTCGAGTGCTATCGGAAGCATGCTGATTGAGCATACACCAATGATTACGAAGATTGCAAACAGTGCCCCAGTATTGTGTGGCCTTGCAGCCCAGATTAGACCTAGCCATGCTGCTGCAACGATCGGCACAAAAGTTCGGGCAGCCAGGCCGAGATGGTGGGTCAGCACGCGGTCAAATAACATGGACGTGGTAAAGGAAACTACGAGTCCCGAAAGCAGAAGGGAGGATCCCTAATTTGTATCAGCGTTTACCAATGGACCAAGTTTCAGGTGTAAAGTACACACCATGAGTCCAGCAATTCTTTCTGAGTAGCCGTATGGCTCCAATATTTCATTTGAAAGGAGCGAGAACGTATTCACCCTACAAGTTAGTACAACAAAGAGCGGAGTTGTAAGACCTATCCAGAGTCGTTCAAAGTCGAAAAGATGCACGGTTACTTACCCAGAAACGAGCCCGGTGAACGCAAGAGTGAGCATTATAAAGTCGATCCTCTCCCGAAGCGTCATGTATACATCTAGTACTTCTACATTGGCTTCTTTGGTTTCTTTAGATGTACCGGTGGTCTCGCCCTGGACCATCGTAGCACCTGTATCGTGAATTGACCGGCGATGTGGCAAACGTCCAACGACGGCGCGGAGTGTGGTCATTAATGAGTGGGTTGCTTGAGATCCTGCATACGCTAGGACGGTTCAGTATTAAACAAAAGAGAAAGAGGAATGGACATACAAGGAGGAGTAGGCGGTTTGGCTCCAACAAGAAACACAAACGGAGCAACAGCCGTCGAAAGAATTCCCAGGACCAATACCTACAACAATTTAAAATCAGCTTTGAACAAATCCGAAAAATAAGTTCAACACACAGAGGTACGAGTATCATGTAACGAAGGCGAGATAAGTTGTCCAACAGCATTACCCACCGGGGTTGCTGCAGACCTGTCAGAAAGGTTGGAAATGAGGAAGATGAGAATATCCCGCACCGATTGACATAATCATCGTGGCAGTCGTGCGGCCCTTCATATCAAACCAAGTCTCAGAGAATGTGGGTGCAAGGACCAGGAAGAGAACCTGCGGTATTGAGCTCAAGAACTACGGGCACATCCGCACAGATAATAGAACGTGTCATTCTTTGCTACTGCTGTCTAAGTCATGAAACGACTAGCACCGACCTGACCAATCAAGAGTAGAGCATAAGCTCCCTGAGGGGAAAGCGAGCGTGCCGTACCCGCGAATCGTACCCAGGCTGAAATCACAAGAAATACCACACCGATCTCGTAGCATCTCCGTATATTGTAGCGTGAACACAGACCAGGAATGACTGGTGTAACGATAAGGTATGTACAACCGACAATGTTCCCAAGCCAGTTCACTTGGTCGAGCGATATATCGAAAGTTTGTGATGCTGGAAGGAACAAACATGCTAACCATCTGTGCAGTATAGTTTACACGGATTAAAGCACTTACAACTATTTGCAATCGGTCCGAACCAGGACAAGTTTGCGCCTGCGAAAATGCTGAGGAAGACAATTCCTACTACGCCGAAATATCTTCGTTTATACAGTTTGAATTGGGGCTGGGTCGTTGATTCATTTTCTACCGTGTTTGATCCTGCGATTTCCTGGGAGGTGGTCTTGTTTTGCCCGGAATTCTGTTGTAAATCGCCTTCCACGATCTCAATGTGCGCCTTCGGACAGTCCTTAGATACCTTGTGGTCCATTGTAGGCGAAGTTGACTTAGAGTGAGGGGCCCACGACAGTGTCCACGGTTTATAACTCCAGCACTCGTGCCCAAGCTATTCAAATAAGAAGCAGGAACGATCGGATACAATGCGCATTACCATAAGACAAGCTTCCGGCTACTTGACTGAACGTTCAAGAATCCGAAGCACGAACTCGACGGCTTTCACCACAAGTTCACATTTTCCCAAAGAGAGTAGAACAGTGGAGCGCCCCATCATGTTTCGCTAGGAAAACCTATGGGCGAGAAAAATGTAGTTAATGTCCCACACTGAATAAGGTGTCATGAGAGAGAGACTACTTCAGAGATAAGATGTACAGTTGCTCACCTTCGGACCTGTTTAAATGCTCACTGCTGCCAGTTACTTCAATGATTGTCTCTTAACTTTTTCTGTCTCCCTCAAATCAATCAGCCCCATGAAAGTCTGTCTCAGCAAATCATTCAATTGTGCTAACCAATACATTATTGAATTCTGGACTGAAGTACATAGTAGAACTACATGACAAAATCTGAATCATTCAATTCTATTATTTAATTCATTATTGAATCCTGGATCCAAGTATTAAGAATATGCTTATATAATGTATTAATGAAATCTGGACTAAAGTATTTAGTAGATCTGTATAATAAATTCTCAATCATTCAATTTTACTATCTAGTTCATTATTAAATCCTGGATCCAAGTATTAAGACTGTATTTTTGGGTAGTGCTGCAGGAGGCAATCTTGGGGCTATGTTTAGTGATATGAATTGCAAAGATCCAGAGTGTGCTAGACGACTCGTTGCAGGTATGGAGGCTATTTACAAGGGTCTCATCAAGAGAATTAAACGTGTTGGTGGTGTGCCTAGTGTACATGAGAATGTATCTAACAGGACTGGAAGTGCTGAGGCACAATGTGCAGACTGTTGGGACAGTCTGTTGGATGCTAAGGGAGACAAATTTGGAGCTTCTTTGCAACAGGACAAAAATGAAGTGCTGCCTCACAGAAACAGAGATGCTGCTGCCATAGACCACACTGATTCCTGGTCTTCAGCTTCAACCAGCAGCTCAAACATTGTAAATTCAGAAGGTGGACAAGGGGAATGATCTTGCATCACTTCCAAAGGTTGTATCACTGCTGTGTGCCCATGTGTTCCATTCCTCGTGCCTCCTGCCCTAGTTCTTGCATCCTGGTCAAACAACTTGTCCTGTGTGTAGGTTTCACCTGAGGCACAGGCTATCTCCACTCTAATTAGAGGGGTTACACGGCCCTTGTAGCCCCTCTAATTAGAAGGGAGTTCAGTCTTTTCCCCATACTGTGCTTAATACTGTACTGAATTATAAAAAAAGCCTTACTTATTTCTTTCCTGCAAGCAATGAGCTGACACATCACACGTGCATTACCTACATGTCTTTGTCATCACACACGTTGTAATATACCCATGCTCAACATGGCATAATAACACAACAAGAAGATAGGGGACAAGATACACAAGATAGCAAACAACAAAATGTATAGTAATTGAACATACAGACGAAAAAAATTCAGAAACATTTTGAAGCACAGAAGAACAACGAATGCAAATAGAAATAAGGCACATTCATGGAAGTAAGTCAGAGTGGCATTCAAGCATACTTACTGTAACACGTCAACAGAATTTTTTTTTTGCACACTCAAACTCTGAAGGTATTATTAGAAACAGCTTCCAAACACACAGTACATGGTGCACGTCTGAGGGAGTGTCTGATACAAGAGGCTGTGGGTACTGTTTCAGTGAGTGCTGCTTCAGTGGGTGCTACTTCAGTGGGTGCTGCTTCAGTGGATACTGCCTCACTGGAAAGGTTGGACTGTGGAGAATACATTAGTATTTGTTAAAGATACTTGAATACAAGTAAAATTCTCTATACACACCTTGGAAGAAGCTTCAGGAGATGCAATTATAATGTATGGCTGAGATGATTGAGATGACTGAGGTGACTGAGGTGAACTGAGGCAGTGAGGAGTATCTGGACTGTTGGACATAGGTGGAGAGGTAATAATAATACTGTACCCAGCCAGAATCACAATCGTACCATGAGACTGGACAATTTGAGCCTGAGTGCTATCTAATCTGACCTCATCTGTGTGGCAGTTTGAGATGGTTTGACAACAACCAGGACCCTCATCCCTGACAACCCAAGCACCAACTGTACTGCCTGCCTGAACTGTTGTAGACATATATTCTGACTCAGCTTGCTCGAGTGCTTGGAGAACTTCAAGTGTTGGGGGGTTGTTGTTCCCCCAGTACTCCTTGTCTGGTGTCACAGTAGCCTGTAAGCCAGAAGGACCATCCAAAACCACACAAGTCTCAGACTTGTCATCTGTGATGTCCTCAATGTCAATGTCTAGATGATGGGTCTCAGCACATGGGAGAGGATCAAGGTCACTACAGTTGAAGACCTTTGCCTAAGTAGATTGTGTCAGTCTAATCTCAACCTGCTACTCCTCACAGCAACTAGGAACAAAGATTGTCCTGCTTGAAGCTGCCCAAAAGTTGTACTCACCTGTTTTATGATTGCAGTAGAGTATCCATGCCTTCTTGAGGTATCATTAAGGTAATCTGTAATAGCTGCTGCAATATGTTCCTTGTAACAGTGGGTTGCAGTGGCAAAGGCTCCCTTGAACAGAATAACATCAGGGAGGCAAATGTTAATGAGACTTGCAAGGTCCACAGACAAAGAGCCACGTCTGGCTGTTGTAAGGCAGTCAATGCTTACTGAAAAGATGAATTTGAGATGCTCCTCAGTACAAGCATGCAAAATACACTGAAATAAAAAATAAGTATGAATTGATATCTATGAAGCAAAACAAGAATTCACCATTCCTTCCTGCACCTTTTTGTTGTGCTTGCAGGCAAGGGCTTGAAGGTCTCTATTTGCAATAAAACCTGGTGCTGATTGTGTAATAGCCATAGAGTTGGGGACATAGGAAGAACTAAGTGATGGGTTGGCAGACAGGTAGGCTTTGGTGAGATTGTAAAATGCAATTTTTTGGGCATCTTAGAATTTGTTAACAGGTGTCAGACGTTCTTGGACGTATGCTAAGGACACCATATACAAGACAGGGGGTACAGAAGGATCTATGAACTTGTGCATGATATCAAGGGTGTTTCGAACCAGCTTGCTGTTGACGGATACATAGACATTGTTCTCTGTTGCATTTGCTGCCAAGACAGTGTTTGATATGCTAGAGACAGCTGAGATGGTCTGAGTCATTGTGAACATCAAAGTAGGAGGGGCAGGGGGTGATTGTGGTGTGATTGTAAGACAAGAACTTGCACACAGTTGTCTAATATCAACACAAGTAGCTATGTTTGGTTTTATTTGCCTAAGCATTGTAATAGGATGCATTCTTGCCTATTTCTCACTCAGGAAAGGCATACTATATTTGGTCAAAAGGAATTTATGAGATACGCCACAGAATTAAGTCAATTGGAATGTATATCTTTTGTATAACCAGACATACTACTTAACAGTCTGAATTGTTCAATTAGATAAGTTATAAGTATACAAGATTTGCAAACCCTCTCTGTGTAATTAATTAATTTGAACAATTTATTGTAGATGTTTATCTGTGTGCTTTTGGATTCAATGTACAATATCTCTGTCCAATATTACTACTCAGTAATTCTCTAATTTTGGTGGATCACTTTGATCATTAAGTGAGATAGTGATTTCATACTAAAAGCT